ATAAAACACACACATATTTTAAACGCCAACGGTTTACTTGTATGGCGTTCGAAATTTCTGAGAGAATGCGGAACATATATCAACTAATTTAAATTAACAAAAATTGCCAAGTCTCCAACAAATTTGAATCGTCCTTAACCTGTTCCCAAATTGAATTTTACGTATTTTCATTTATGTTGAAATTATTTTTTAAAAACATTGTATATCAATAATATATACAAATGATTTACTTGGTGCGTGTGTAAACATGTGTTCATTTAAAAATAATGTCTTCCAGTAACGATATTAATAAAAATAATTTAAATCGTGTACCTTATTTCACTTGTATAATCTCTGAAGGTATCCTTTGTATCCACAAAAGTATAATAGTTTCGTGATTGACTTAGGCGCAAATAACCCAAATATTTTTTGGGAGGATTTCAACCACCATTATACTGATTATGTATACTCATATGTTTACTTGATTCGGAAGGTTTGATTATATTTTGGGAGACTAGCCTCGCTTTTACTTGCGCAAATGATGATAGCGCTTGCAGTAACTCACGAATAACATCGGTTGAATCCGACGCATGCTAGTTTTTTCAAGCACTATGGTTTTTTAATTTGCATTTAACTTGTATTTGAATGTATTTTTTCAATAGAATATTGAAGAAATGACAATATTTTAGAACCTCCGTCAAGTTTTTTTTTTTTACTAGCATATTTTAACGAACTAACTGTAAGCACACTAACTGATCACGCGATTATTTTACTCAATTAAAAAACAGTGTGTTTTCTGATACATAGTATGAATCCTCACTCAAAGTATGTAGTCTGAATTACAAATGTATATGTGTGATCCAATTTTCATATCCTGTATTTGAATTTTTATTTGTAGAAATACAAATTACCTATGCATAATAAAAAAATTACCAAAAAGATAATAACATGTACGAATACACGATGAAAAAAGATCAAATGGGGAGGGAGCACGTGCCTTTTTTCTCTTCCCTAAATCTGCCGTTGACCCTAACAATCGAAAATATGTGTAATATGAAATCGGGTAAATTTTAGACAGTGAATTCAACAATGAAAAAAAAAACCCCCGTTATATAATAAAGTATCAATATATCATAAATTCCAATATCACATTTAATAAAATTCCTTTATGTATATAAAAACGAATGTACATCTGTTTGTCCTTTATGCATTACTACACCATTCATACGATCGCCATGAAACTTTGGGAAATTGTTTCACGTTGTCCAAAGAATGTTCATAGCTATTGGCATCCACTTCCTCTTGAATACCATTCCCTAAAATTCGGTTCTTAGGAATTTTTAGTATACAAATCTAATTATTTTTGTTGATTTATTGGTTAGGTATCTCGGAAACATGAATAAAAAGAAACATTGTTATTACTTGTTTTATTACAGACCCTGTGCTGTGCGGGTATATCTATGGCAATAGCATACAATATAATGATATTTATTGACATTATTTATTATGACAGCTTATAGACTATAAAATACCTACTCTTTAAATATGATTTAATCAAAACTAATAAACATTAAGCAGTGATGGGATGGTTCTTTTTAAAAACTAAACTAATTCAAGTTCAAGTTCCAGACATTAAATATGAACTAGTTCAAGTTCATTAAATTAAAATAAGAGTATTAATTATTTTTATACATATAATATTGTTATTTATTTTAATAACTCAAACAAAGTGAGTTGCAGTGTGCGTATGAAATTGTTTATAATATATTTATGAAATAAATAAACTACTTTAACCTGAGTGCACATGTAAACATTCACTCAACTGTTAAGTTTCGTTAAATATTTATTCAACAAAACATTCACTAGCCAACTATCAACCATTGGATAATGGATATTAAGTAAAAATTAATAAACAAATTATATGTATAATAATGAAAATTCCATTTTATCTATTTTATAATAATACAATATATTATTATATCATGATAAAACTGAAAATCTATAGTAACAGTACCCATAGATAAGTATACTAATAGTACCTATAATATCGATACAACCATCATACAGAAATACATTTTAAGAATATTGTGAAATCAGAAATAGGTATTTATTCGTTATGACTTATACCATAGTCCATAACTATTTTAAACTTGTAATATTTAGTATTTACCATGGTGCTTTTTGCAAAATTGAAAATAGCCAATAAGTACTTGTCACCAGCGGGCAGCGGTATTTCCATTAACTTTTTCGAGACTATACTGTAATAATCAATTTTATTTTTTTCTTATGGATTTATAGGAAAATAGATATGAATTATTATGCAACAAACGAAAGGTAAGATAATGGGGCGGGTGCAGTCACTGGTGTAGGTGGAAAATTGGGAACACAGCATACAGGCGGAAATTTAATGTATATCCGTAAGCAACGATAAACCATTGCTAACGAAAAACCGATTCTGAGCGGAGTTCAGTTGATAGTGATGCCTTGTCGACAATATATATATATTTAACTCTATCATTTTATAGTAAAACTAGCTGTCCCGCGCCCGGCGTTGCCCGTGCCAATTTGTATTATTATTTTACCCATATTCGTTTTTGGTTTTGGCCGTGTTAGAATTTAATGAAAAAAAAAATAGGTTGAAAGTGGGTAGTACACCTTCGGTGGACTAAATGTGTTCTATTTTAAAATTTGAATAATACAAAAAATAGTAATAATAATAATTATAATAGTTTTCTTTACCGTGGCAACTGTTAAATAAACAAAAATCTTATATAAACAAAACAAAGTCGGGTTAGTTACACCATTTATAACTCAAGAACGGCTGGATCGATTTTAATGATCACATGATATTTTCAGACTAATGATTATTCACCATTTTTGTTCATCCCTGCTACCGGGGTAACACAAATCAACAAAAAAAAAATTGTATTTATTATATTATAAGCTAAATTATTTGGTGTTGCTTGTATATATATATAAGCGAAAATACTAAAATCTCGATTAAAAATAGTGGGTGTTGGTAGGAGGGTGAAAATTACTTTACGACTTATTCTCAGACCTAATAGACATTTAAATTTCATGAAAAACGGTCAAGCCATTTCGGAAGAGTTCAGAGGAGTGCGACCACAAACACGTGATACGAGAATTTTATATATGATAATTATTAAAAAAAATAATAACAGGCTTTGTATATTTTCTTTGATAATATTTGTTTAATGTTGTACCGATTTCCCCGGTTTTTCACACTTGCTGAGAAAACTCCGAGGAAAATCGAAAAACGAATTCTTTAAAGTACTCTCCCACTGAAATTTCCTTTCAGAAAAATTGCTACACGTAAGAATCGGAACTAGCCTTCTGGTAGAAAAGTTGTCCAGAGAAAAAAAATAATAAACATCTTTGTAAAACCATAAGCTCCTTCGCTCCACCTCAGAATCTAAAAATAAATTAAAATTACTGAAACAAAACACTCGACATTTTTAAAAATAAATCACTCGGTATCGTTTGAAAAATTGTGGAACTTTCAGTTATAATAATAATATTACTGAAATAAATTCAATTTTGATTACAGTTTCGGTTCTGGTGACATAAGTGGTGCCTATGAACGGACCATGATAATAATAATACATAACGGTTTTTTTTTTTTATCATGAAACTATACGATATTGTACACGGCGTATATTATGGGAACACAGCTGCTTGTCATATGTTGGTCTTGAACAATTATATAAATATCGAACACTCAGTGGCGAATAACAGCGTTTATTCTAATTAAGGGCTGTAAAAATAACTTCTGAAAAATACTCGGCTCTAAAAATACGACTCACGCGATACGGGTACTCATCATAATTGTCATTATTTATAGTCATACAACCCGACGAATCCCGATTCGTTATCTATTATCCATTCGTGATACGAACTACGAATTAATGAAAAACGCACAAATAGCGCTGGCCGTTTCGTTTTTCTACGCCCAGCAAATAATAATCCAATGTGACAACGTACGAAACTCGAAGTGTCTTGGCCAATGCGTAAATAAAGTGTTAGTAATAAATATAGTAAATAAATGTACGAATAGAAAATAAATAAATGAACGAATGCGTCGCCCGGAGTGTTATGATAATTAGTGCATTATACGACCGGTTTCGAATTGAAAATTCATCATCGGGTATATCGCAGTCAAAATGTAAAACGCGACATTCGTAATAAACGCGATTATGGTCAATGTTATGAAAGTTAACTTATCAACGGACGGGAACGTTCAGTGTTCACGTCTAATAAAGCAAAAGAACCCCAATGACGTTCGTGGCGTTTCTCGGTCAGTCGCACGATTGCACTGTGTGGCGGTTTTGATAAAACATCAAAGGAGGAGGGGGGGGGGTGATTTCAAATTTGTTGAGCCCCATACCATAATGACGTATATCAAATAAAAGATAAAATTTGTTTACGGTCTTATCATAAATTGCACATAAATTTCATTTCAGATTCTGAATAGAGCGAAGAAGCTTAAGGTTTTACAATTGTTATATCTGTGGACAATTTTACAACCAGAGATATTTCTGCGATGTATACGATGTAGCACTTTTTCTGAGGGGAAATTGGACTGGGGAGGTACTTTACGGAGGTCGTTTTACGATTTGCTCAAGAGTTTTCCCAGCAAATGTTAAAAACCACGAAAAACTATGGGAAAATCGATTTAATATTAAACAAATATTATTAAAGAAAATGTATGATGCCTATTTAATTATTTTACTATAGTATGACATACTCATATATTGTTGAAAAACTATCAATATCAATGGAACTCCGTTCAAAATCGTTTTTTTTTGTTAGTAACGGTTTATCGTTGCTTACGTACAAAACATAATTAATTTCTTGAAAAATGGACGAGTTCGCGTTCTGTTGACGCAAAACGAACGTGTTATTTCCAATCATCGACGATAACAATATTGACAAATCCGGCGCCGTTGATATAGAAAATTGCCGACAATAGCGCGGCGGTGTCGAGATTGCAGTAGGCAGTGGCACGTACACGAGTTACAGGCGCGCTAACAGGACGTACTTGCCCATTCTGTTTGTATTTCTCATCGCACAATGAAATAATAGAATACGAAACGAATAAATCGCTGGTTACTTACTTGGGTACGTAGACGCCGACAAAATATTTACAAAAAATTAGTCGACTGGCTTTTTTTAAATAAAATATTTTTACGCATATAAACACGTCTTGACGTTCAATCTGTACGGTTATACCTACAATAATTCTTCGAAGACGTTATTATTAACCAGGCACGGAACACAGTAATTGAATAAATAAAATCATTTTTGTTTGATTGTTTGAAAACGAATTATCATTTATCAATAATCACATCAAATTACATTATTTTCGAACCATTGGTTTACCACGGATTTATTTTTTTTTTTAAATTGGCACCAATTGGTATTTAACCTCGAATAGTAATCACGTGCTTAAAATGTTGATAACCACTATCTCATATCTACTATTTTCATATCAATAATATTATCGCAAACGATTTTCAAAATACACAATATTAATATTAGTGGTAAATGTGAACGATCTTATTTAAACGATCTTACAGCGTAAAGTTAATCTTGATTTGTTTCTTTATGTATTTAATTGTTAACAGTCCCCTGTAGTCATGGAAGACTGGAAATGTATGAACATTCGGACTGAAATACTCAACGCTCTCAAGTTGAAAAATTTCACTAAACCCACAAAAATTCAATCAGAGTCAATTCCTCCTGCCATTGAAGATCAAAGGGACATACTCGGAGCTGCTGAAACTGGTAGTGGTAAGACATTGGCGTTTGCAATACCTATTCTAAACGGCATACTCAATGCTAGATCTAATGAATCAATTTCTGAAGAATCTGACATGGAAACAGAGTCAGACTCTGAGTTGGGTTCAGATAATGAGAATGAACCAGAAGTTTTAGAAGAACTTGACGAAAATGGATTAGGTTGTGTAAGTGTGGTCAATTTGCCGCCTGATGGTTTTGTGAAACCAAAGAACAAATTATGGGCAATTATACTTGTACCTACTCGTGAATTGGCTATGCAAGTTAAAAATCATATCGATGATGTGGCCAAATATACAGGAATTAATATTGCAGCTATTGTCGGTGGATTATCAAGTGAAAAACAAGAAAGACTACTGAGAAAAGGTCCAGAAATAGTTGTTGCTACTCCAGGACGTCTTTGGGAATTAATACAGAGAAACGAACCGCACTTAATGCAGTTGAATAAAGTAAAGTATTTTGTTATAGATGAAGCTGATCGTATGGTCGAGACTGCACATTTTCCTGAATTACATCTTATGTTGGAGAAAATTAACTTGAAGCGAAATAACAAACGTCAAAATTTTGTATTTTCTGCTACATTAACTATGGTTCATAAAGCTCCATACAGGGTGAATATTAAGAAAAAAAAACATATTAAAAAAAATCTTTCACCAGAAGATAAATTGAAAAGTTTAATACAACTTATCGGTATGAAGAATCCACATGTTGTAAACTTGACGACTGCAAATTGTGTTACTAGTACAGTAAAAGAAATGCAAATATTTTGCTCTGTCAAAGAAAAAGACGCATATTTGTTTTATTTTTTGAAACGTAATCCTGGAAGAAGTCTAGTATTTTGCAACAGTATAAGTTGTGTAAAAAGACTCGCAAGTATCTTAAATATTCTTAAATTAACTCCATTACCTATTCATTCGAATATGATTCAGAAGCAGAGGCTTAAGAATTTAGATAAATTCAGAGCTAATGATCGTGGCTTATTGCTTGCAACTGACGTAGCATCAAGAGGTCTTGACATTGTTGGTGTTAATCATGTAGTACATTATGATGTCCCGAGAACAGCTGAAATTTATGTACACCGCAGTGGCCGTACGGCTAGAGCATCAAATATCGGTTTGTCACTGTTAATTTGTACTCCAGACAAAAAAAATGTTTACCTAAATGTATTGAGAACTATGAAAAGAGAAAAAGAATTACCACGGCTTGAGATAGAGCTACGATTAATCCGAACGTATCATGTCGTTGTAAAACTCGCCCAGGAGATAGCTATGTTAGAAGAAAAGTCAAAGAAAGAGACAGCCTCTACAAATTGGTTTAGCAAAGCTGCTGAAGAAATGGAAATATTATTGGATGAAGACGAATTGCCAAGAGGAATGGGTAAAGGTGATCTTCAAAAACATAACAAATTGGTTAACTCTAAACGCAAACAATTGGATTTGTTTTTAGCTACAACAAAATGATTATTTACTGGTGTTTGTTTTATTTCATATGAATATTTTCAAAAATAAATGTATTGACACTGATGTGTCAATGATTAAATATTCAATTAAATTTTATTAAAATCATGATAACCCAGTCTAACTATCATAATTTTGGATTAAATTTAAGAATTACTGTAAAAAATTGTGTTTTGAATTTGTATAGTACATTCTATCATAGGTCACATTATGTATGGCATACAAATAGGCACACAATAATATATTATGTAAAATGATTTTAAGAATACTGAGTATTTGCTGTCAGTTTTACTTTTGACCACGGTATATTATATGCTGTGCTTTTGACAAACATCTAAGAGGGAATTTACAGTTCTACATTTATGATACAACTATGTAAACAATAAAGTAATGTGTCTGCTTTCTGTCCAATAATTCATACTTCAATTAAAGTTAAATTTTATAATATGGCTGATCTTGAGAATGTTTTGAGTTTATTTAATATTTAACAGAATGAAATTTTAATATGATCTTTAATTTTTCAATTTATTAATTAATATTATATTATAATAATATAATTTTGTATTATGTATTAGCTTGGTACTAGCTAAATTGATTCATAATCGATTTTCCACAATTAAATGAACAATACAAATTATAGATGTGTGACTCAATGAAAATATACCAAAGATTAATGAGAGAAAACAAGGTACAAAAAATGACTATTAATTAGGTATGTAAATATGTACATTGGTCAATATGCATATTATGTAGGTACTTGGTCTGACAACAAATTCTATGCATTTTGAGTTTAAAACTCTATTTAAATTCAAAATCTAAAAACCCTAAAGCAGAGGTTCTCAAATTTTTAATTTTGTGTACCACACATATGTATTATGGATCTGTCATGTACCACGTAAAACTAAAAATTGAACAATTCATAATGTTTTTACATTTATTTCAAAACGATAAGAGTATAAGACAGTATAATACTTGAATATAAAATAAAGTATTAGATCCATTAAAAAATATTTGTAAGAATATTGATTAATTTATTTTCTGTACTGTTACCATGCGGCCTTCTGCGTACCACCATGTTGTCTATCGTGTACCACAGTTTGAGGACCGCTGCCCTAAAGTTTATTTACTGTTAAAAATTAATATTGTTAAACCTAAACTACGTTTGTATTATTATTAATTTTTATATATATTTTTGAGTATAATTTAATTTATATAACTTATACTAGTTATACTTTGTTCAGATGTTTCAAAATTAGACATCAGCAAAAAAAATATTTTTATTGTTATTCGCTTGGTTCATTTTAATAAAAATTATACACTTTTTTACATACTATTATGAACTATTGTGTGATTTGACACCTACACATTTGATGGTGTGGGTAATAGATTTTTAAACAAAAGTGTGCAATTCTTTCAAAATGAACATAGCTTTTATTATTTATTTCTAATACAAAAATCATGGATTGTGTTTTAATTGTTAAGAAAAAAAAAACTATATTTTGGTAGATTACAATAATATACCAATAAATCCTGTATCAACATTATAATCTATTGTTACATGTATAGGTAATGAAACAGGGATTGTTTTTGTTTGGTGTGCGATCGAGCAAATGCCCGGTAGCCTTGGCCTATGAGTGGCCCAAAGTATTCAAAATTAAATGTTATGTTTTTGTTACTAAAAAAAAGTCAAAAATAGTTTGATAATTAAAATATTTTTACAGGAGAGAGAACTTAGACATAGATTTTCATTTATTGACAATGACATCTTAATACATTTTTACTGTATTATTTCTAATTTTATTTTTAAAATAATGGACGGTAGTTATACCATTGGTAGTTGCGAACCGAGGTGAGAGAGAGGGTTAAGGATTTGATCCATCCCACATTCTATTGATTGTATTTTTTAAAAAAAATAATAATAATATAAACTTTTGAAAGCATTGACAAATTATCTCTATAATATGTAATGTACATATAAAATCAAGTTCGATTTATATTGGATTTTTATACAAATTTACAATTTTATTCCAGTCTGTATGAAACTTTGCAAAATTGTCAATACAAAGTAAAGGTAACTGTCTACTTTTATATCAAAATTTAACCACTAAAGAGTTCACTAAACAAAGTTCTTAGTATTTTTGGAATGAAAATATTAAACTTTTTTTTATTTATTTATGAGTTACTTTGAGTTGCCTGACAAGCATAAAAAAAAAAAAAACCTATTACTATTATTTAATTTTGTTGTCAAAATCAAGAACCCTCCTTAAAAGATAAATTACCAAGCATCAAATACTTGCTTATATAAGGATTATTGATAAAGGTGAACCCGGGAAATGTCGAGTAATTTAACTAGTTATTAACCAAATAATAATCATTACACATTTGAACTACTCATTAAACCATAATGTGTTTTGCAAAACATTTTTTTTTAGATGAGCTCCCATTGAATATTCCTGGATTCACCAATGACTGTTGGAATAGTAAAAGCAATGCCTTATTATAGTAATTGTTTTGGCTGAAATAGTTTCTTTTAAAAAAAAAATGTGTTTGGTGGACAATTATTATGGAAGGGATATTAATGATGTTAATTCAGTGAAGAAAGTTTCTACAACTGTGTTTTTATACTTCTCTAAACAAAAATTATAATTTGATATACAGATTAACATGGTATTAAATAATGGTAAAAAAATTGAAGTGGCTCTGAACATATATATTTGCCCAGTACCTACCTACCAGTACCTACCTACCTTGTAATTTTCAAGCCACTCCGTCTCTGTAATCAAATATGTCAACATTAACTAAAATATATAACCGAGTCATATTCGTTAGGTAGTAATGTTTTTTTTTCTACAAACTTTTTTCATCTAAACAGTTTTTTAATAGTTAAGTTCTTAAAATCTTCCAAATTAGTTATTTATTTTAATACCATCATAACGTCATAATTTTATTAATGTAAAATTATAATTGAAAATTAAATTACAGTTTTTCATTATTTTTAAAGAATTTTATCATACACTTTAATGTCCAACTCTTAAAAAAAAAATTTGCGTTTAAGAATTTTCGATATTTCTAAATTAGGCACCTATCAGAAGAACAATATAAAATAAATTCAAAAACTTGAAACCATTCCTGAAGTCGATGCAGAGCGAAACATTTTATAGCAGTTTTCCACCAGTATAGGTGGAGCTCGCTAAACCCGTGGCATCATAATTGTCCCACCCCCCTCAGAATTGAAAATTATACCTAATAAGAATTATTTAACCGATTTTTTTTTTTTTTAGTGTATACATAATAAATTATTTTTAGAATTATTTTGTATGCATAGTCATTTGGATTTAAAATTAAAACACCGAAATCCAACGTAGCGTGAAAATTCGTTTCGCACACATTTTATTATGAACACATTTCAATTCCTCGACTCGAATTCGGTTCCCATTCCACCCTGTCCTCGTCCAAACGGTCTGTAAATCAATCGTCGAGTTATTTTTACTAATAGCGTAATGACAAGGAACTGTGCTGTGTACTTTGCACGTACGTAGTTTGCTCGTTGGCGGCGGCATATTATAATCGGTAGGTGTCTAATGTAAACTTTTTAAATAAACCTTTGCTGACGTTCAGTTTTTTAAGATCACGATAAAGAATTTTTCGCGCGCAGTTTTTAAATTCGTGTGCAGGTACGATATTTTTTACATAAAAATCCGCGCCCTAATTTGTTATAGTATTAAGGGGGTTTGAACCTCCCCCCCCCGATATTTTTTTTACTGTTAATAAATTTAATTTATGTAAGTAACTTATTTATAATAATTCACCATGTGACAATGAGGGTACCTATTAATATGAAAACAATGTATGTATTTGTTGACGGACGAAACGCGTCTATACTTAAATACTACTTAATATGTAATTAGACAATAAATTGTTGCTCGCATTAATATTTTATCTCTAAAAACTATATGGTATTGCCAGTACACACATTATGTTAGAACACCGGTACAAGTATTTTGGAACAATTTAGTTGTTATTTGTGCGCGCTGTGCAACGTACCTACGACTCTCTAATATATTTCCGAATTATTTATTAGATTATTTCAATAAAATGTCAACTCGTAGGAGCAATAATACCCTTTCAAATTATTTTTGTAAAAAAATAAAATTAACCGAGAATGAAACAAGTGCAATAATTACTCATACACAAAATACAACAGAAAGATCATCTACAAATGATATTGCTGATATTGGCTGCCATTTAGATCAAAAGGTTAGTGACGAATTATAACAATTGGGCACCCTTTTGAAAATTTTACGTTTCCTATAAGTCGGGTAATAGAAAAATAGAAATTTAAAATTCCAATTAAACTGGATTAAACGATTTCCGTGGTTATGTTACACTAAAACGCAAGATTCCGGAGCGGTGCGTAAATATTGTGCTATATTTTATCACAATTTGATCGGTAAAGGTGCACATCAAAAACCAGGGTTATTGCAGGTTACAAAACCTTTCAATAAATGGAAAAATGTAATAGAAGGTTTTAACGCGCGCATAACAACACATCAGAGTATCATAAAAAATAACGTTTTTATCGCAGAAAATTGTATTTCGATAAAATGATGACCAACCGTATTGAAAACGAGACAATCAAATCTATGCATACGTGTCCTACCGTATACAAAATGATTTAATCAGTGTCATCGGAAAAATAATACAGGATCGTTTAGTGAACAGAATCAATAGGGAAAAGTCATTTTAGATTTGAGTGGACGAGACAAAGCTGATATATCGCGAAACGTGAATCGAACAAACGTCATTTTGTATTCGATACAACGATGAAGATCCTGAACACATCGGTTCATTTCACGCGAAGATTTTTGTCAAATAAGTGTCAGTGAAAAATACAACCGGGAAAATGCAGCTTATATTATTTTAGAAACTATTAAACATCTTGGTATAGATCCGACATAACATATGACAGGGCAAGGATATGATGGGGCGGCCGCAATGAGCGGGCATTTTAATGGAGTGCAAGCAATTATTCGAAAAGTTTATCCAGTCGCACTATATTTGCATATATATATAATTTATGATGTATTAATATAATAAAAGGTAATTTTTTTATTTTTTGTTAAGACAAATGTTAGTTGTTTTTTCTTAAACTATTATGCAAATATATTATTTAGTTTAAACCCCCTCCTGTCCTCCGAAATTTCGTTCCAGCTACGACCTTGTACCTACAGGCTATTTTTCCTTCTGGTTTATCTCTGTTTATTGCGCCTACATAACACGTTTTAATCTAAACTGTATTAACGCGTTTTTAATTACGTAAAATATTATTATAATTACGAACACGCGTAAACGCGTTCGATTACACGACTCTGTCCTTTTAATATTGAAATTAATTTTACTATTACTTACTATAATACAACGAATATTGTTACGATATAGCTCTATTTATAGGTACGAAGTATTTATATTTTGTTTGTTTAAACCACGATGTCGTTTAGCTGATAAAACGAGATCGTTTTTGCTTATCGTATTTATTTCGTTTCTATTAATTATCAATATTTGACGGACACCAGGACGTTGGCACGACGAAAACACGACCATAAACACACGACTACGTGGGTCCAGATTACAGGCATCCGTGTGTGCTGTTAATTATTATGCGTTACAAATCTTTACAATCTAAAGTAACACGTTTAGAAACATAGAAATCTGCGAAGGTCTCGTGTGTAATGCTACGGCGCTATGCGATTTATATAAATCCGTGGGTTGTTTCGCCAACCCGAAACGTGGACGTGTGACCGTCGGCCATATTTCCACGCGACACGTTCTTCGCGGGTTCTTTGTTCTGTAAAAATAGAAATCTTTGTACTCCATTAAGTGGGTCGTAAAAAAATCTACGTCTTGTCAGTGCCTATATAGAAAATAATTAATTAAATAATAACGCAACACCGGAAAACGAGAGATACTATTTCGGATATTTCGATGTTCAATAATTTTGTAGGACGTGTCCGTGTAGATGGCGCTGCGTGTAACGAAAACAATGTTCACGAATGTTCTCGTTCTACGGTACTCTATGAGGAGTGGGATGGGCCGTGGGCATTTCTATTGATAATTGGTAATCATTTATCAGTCAGTCGAGTTTCCGTATTTTGTGCGTACGTCTGTGATTAGAGTTCCCTTTGAAAAAAATAGTTAAATTGAATTAAGTATTTTAACTCGTTCGTTAGATACAACATGATTTCGTTTAGTATTAGTGTATTACTCTAATACAGTATTAGTTTTCGTTTGGTATTGACGCGTAAACTATAAATTCACCTACCTAACAACATAATTTTTTTTATCGATTTTAGTAAAATCAAAACGATAACAAGTGTCTTCAATTCTTGTTTTTCTATTTCTGCAGGACTGTTGTAGTTATACATCCATTATGGATAACGCCGGCCAAGTAATTACCACACCAAATGAAGAAGACGAGAAACAGTGTAGATCCAAACAGTATCTGACCGAGAAGCTGGACCGCGCCGAAATGATCATTGAGAACATACGTAGGGAGGCTCTAAAAATGGCTGAAGATCTCGACAATGTCTACAACAGTGTGGACGCGGTGAGGAATTCCAAATCAATGAACTATCTGAGTGATGGTTAGTGTCTTTGAGTTGCCCCAGAAATAATTGATCTTTTACTGTTGATTTTTATCATTTTGTTTTTGTAGTGGACAAAGAAGATATCAGTCTGTTTGCTGATCGGATTGTCAGCCGCTGCGAAACTGTTAACATAAATGTGCACACTACTCGTAGTGACAGTCAGTTAAACTGTTTGGAAGAAATTAATGTCATGATCGACAAAATAGTCAACACTCTAAGAGACGACCCGGACACAGCCAAGTCCACATGCCAGTCATATATAGCTTCATGCAGTTCAACAGAAAATGAATCTGGTAGTAAAGTTTTCGAGACCGCCGTTTTGGGGTGCACACTTGACGATCAAAAAAGAATTTTCAAACGGCTCCAAGGCTTGTTGGATTATATAGTACACACGACTTATGTTATTGAATCCGATGATGAGTAACTTGTTATCATGGAATTTTAGAATCTCATTTTAATTATAACCATTCCTTATAAGTTTAATACAAAATATTTTAACTATTATGACTATATAAACTAATTGTTATGACACTTAACAGGTTTGATTTTTCTTAATAAGCACACAGTGATATTATTTTTATTGTTTTATTTTATTTAATACGCATAAATATTTTTATATTGGAAGAAAGTAATCGATTAAAAATTATTACGGTATGACACAAGAGTTCTTAAAGATATTTTTTTTCTTTTGTCGTATTTTTCCCGATCTTAGTTTAATTGTTGTTGATGAATTTCTGTTATGATATGGAGCCGCACCAAATGAACCTAAAATTAAATAAATAGAGGGTGATAATTAAAAGATTATTCATTTAACACTTGGTTATAAAAACTTAAATAGATAGAAACATAGCCACAAAATATGAGTGAAATTTTTGAACCTTCATCCAGACTAACTTAACCTTACTGAAATTATTATATACATTTTTTTTTTTAAAAATATTGTAAATTTTATTAAATACACATTTTATCATTAATATGCTAGGAATAAACCATAAGGTTTATGGATAATATTAATATTTATCTTATATAAACCTTCATAAAACTATAAGTTATTTGCATAGACCTATAAATAAGTTTATAGGTTTATGGTTATATTGTTTTCACCATAATAGGTACTATACTCATAAAAATTACGTTGATAACATAACATTTACATTTATACAGACTACAAGATAATATAATACTAATTTTAAATTATAATTATTTATAAAATGTATAGTTCAATAACATGTTATTAAAATAAAAATATTGTACTAATTTGGAGCCAAGTGGGATTGCATCCCTCTTATCACTCTTAGTTATGCCACTGAATGTAGATTATTTTAGTTATTAATTGAGGCCTTCAGTTTAATAACGAACTAAGTTATACATTTTTCATATTTATCTAGACAGCATAAATAGAAAACATACACCATAAAATTTAATTCATAAACAAATTAAGTCATCTTTACTTAATATTCATTTTAAGATGACAGCACCTTAACTGCTATTTTGTATTATGAAATTATAAATATTTATGAAAACAAGAATGGAGGTGGAGAAAGGGTCGGGATGAGTCTGTTATCTCATTGAAGGTCTCGATTGATGTTGAAAATAATATTTTATTATGCGCTTTCTATCATATTAATGTTTGAGTTGCTGATAAATGTCCATTTAAAATTTAAGTTATATTAAAATATTTATTGTTAATTATATAAAATAATGTTATTGAGTTTTTAAGTTATCAATATTTATGAACAGATAAATATTTTCAAGTTCAATTTAAACTATAATATCTAATTGTATATTTTATTCAATCATATGGAAATTTTAATTTTAATTTTTAACTTAAATGTAGTATTGATTTAAACAAAATACAAATTATAAAAGAAAAAACTGTTAATTTGTTAAAAATAATTTAATTACCTATTGTGTATGTTTGGTGTACCCCATTACCCGACATATATTCTTGTTCTTCCTTCTGAATTTCCACCAGGCACCGTGAGGCCAAGTATCTAAATACATTGTTGACATTGACATCATCTTTTACCGATGTACGTATTAGCTTACAGCCCAACGATCGGGCGAGAATATCAACTTCTTGTCTGAAAATTATGTATAATATAATAGTATTAATTATTGAACGTAGAGTTTGAACTTGGTTTTGTATGTTTTAATTATGTAAAAGAAAAAAAATAATAAGAACTATGGCCACACACAGTACTCACAGTACAAATATTTTTACATAAATAAACAAGATCCAGTGGATGACATAGTACAGGTTTATAACAGATAATATTAGGATAGTTACTAATGCAGTAATTTATCAAAAAGTCAATAATAATTAGAAAACATAGGGGCATTTCTAAGGAAGTTGGAATGAAGATGGAGAATGTGGAATTGAAAAAAAGAACACTTATAGAATGAAAGAACTAGAACTTAAAAATGTATATTTGTGAATAAAGAAGGAGAATCTATATAGAGATGAAGTGAAGGTTTGTCAAATGTCTCTGATTGGCAAGGCTTGAAAGACCCAACACCTTACGTGAATATAAAACTATATGATTATTTTCTGATCATTATTCTAATTTAAAAAGTTCATAATTAATATTGGAATAAATGTATTTTTAATATGAGAGCTCCACTTATATTTTAAAAGTACTAAAAAGTTTCTAAAATTTATTACAATTATTTAAACATAAATAATAAACAATCATACTACTTACGGATCAACTTGGCTACGATCTAATAAATCAATTTTATTTTGGACAATCACTGTTGGTATTTTTCCACATTCATCTTCTACCTAAAATAAAACCACACCAATTCTCATAGATTTAAAAATTGTAGTTAAAAATCAATTGATTAGTAGTATTTTGTAAGATAAGCTGTTTAAACTTACATTATTGTTGTACTCAAATTTGAGTATACTGAAGAGAAGAATCAAGATAAATAATTACTACCAACACCCTTTAAAAAGTATAAAGAAATTAATTAAGTATAAATTAAACACCACATGCACTTAAAATATAATATTTTGACCTGTTACCAGGCAAATATAGCATTATGAGAGGGCAATCCTACCTCAGCATAAGTAAATTGCTTTGGCATGCATTTTTTTTTATATCAAATAGACAACCTCTCAAATATAATTATATTAATAATGATAAATATTTTACTTTTCATAGTTAACTCTAGTAAAAATATTTTATTATTGTTATTTGTTTTTGTCACTTATGTATAATAGGTATACATTTAACTACTTGCATAATATTGATTACAAGCTACAATTATATTATCTACTATAGTTTTCAAAAATGTCAAACAAAATTTAATTGAATTAATGAATTATAATATAGATAAACAATTTTATTAGCATTGTAACTAATGCTTTTTAAAAACCATGGTAGTAAAACATCTGTGATAAATTGATTTAAAATATAAATTAAATGCAATAAATCATTATAAGATGCAAATAAACTTAAAAATAGCTATATTTGAAATTTTCCCATAAAATAAGTTATTATAAGTTGTTTAAAATATTCTCAGGGTGTAGTTATATTGTCTGCCACTCATTAAACATTTATATTCAAAATTGATTAATATTAATTCTGAATAAAATAAATACATATTGTTAAGAAAAAAAAAATTAAGTATTGATCAATAAGAAAATATTTTATGCCAATCAATAATACACAAATAAAATTTTAAAAAAAAATGTTCGATATTAGAAAATCATTAATAATATATTATAAATAATCAATGAGTACTTGTTATTAATTATTTATTCAGAAGTTGAGTGGATATGTATTGAAAAGAAAAAAATACCATACCAAAACCATAGACATGTTTCAAGTACCTATAATTGATAGCTATTATTAATCTAACCACCAGTATTAAAGTATTTGATGAAATGAAACCTTGATTTTCCACGAATGGATTGCTTCAAATGAATCTCTATCACTTGTAGAAAATGCCAACACACAAGCTTGGGCTCCTCTATAGTATGCTTTAGTAATGGCGTCAAATTCTTCTTGGCCTGCTGTGTCCCATAACATTAATCTTACATCTTCTCCATTGCATCTAAATACAGAAAAAGTTTCTAATTAATATCAATTAATCGTATATTAGCATAGTGAAATTATTGTAAACTTAAAGAAAAAATAAATTTATAATACCAAAATATTATAACTAAAAACATTTTTGTACCAATTTTTAAAACTAAAAATTATCATTAAATACAAATAGATCAACATTTTTATTTTATTACATTAGTAATTTGCTGTACAACACACATACATAAATTAGTTGTTTTGCAGGAAAATAAAATAAAATTACTAATTTAGATTTTACTGTATTTAGGTACTTAGGTATTAATAGTTTTTAATTCAGTTATTTATTTTTGAATTATTTGTGTTCATATTTTTGTATTTTATTATCTGTTATAAATTATGTAGATACTTTTATGTCTTTATTGTGTTAGAATAAAAATTACATTTACCCATGGTCTTTGTAAAATTTAATAGGTTCTTACATACTAAATTAAATTAATTAAACAGATATGAACATTAATTATTTGAACAATAGTTCATAAATTTATTCATATAGATTTTTTTAAAAAAACAAATTTCATATCAATTATCTTTTGTTAGATCTTAAGATGTATTTATATTTACTAAAACTCCATTTGACATCACACAACATAATTTTCGCGTACTTAAATTGTTACTTCCCCAGGAGTTATAATTTGGAAACCTTCCAGATTATTTCCATTTTAAAAAAGTATTACGTAACATAAACATAGATTTTAGTGAAAAAAAAAGAAAATACCACCGTTTACTTTAACATGAACTACCTAATTCGTGGACATAACTGACAAAAATAGTAATCAAAAGTTGCAAAAAAAACATACCAATGCATATAAATTTTAGACCTAATTATATTATAATAATAAATTATTATTTGACGAGCAAAGTATACATCAGAATGTTAATCCATTCCGGTTGTTTGAACGAAATTTGCTCAAGGCTGTAATTTGTGCAGAATGAAAAAAATAAAGTAGAGTAAAAAATAATCTGATATTGTTGTATCTTTAATACGACAGCTGTCAAGTGTTAACAAGCTGTCCCCATATTCTGCAGAGGTAGGAATTTATTTACTGAGAAAAACGTAGTTTAATATTTATACCTTAATATGATTTTTTTTTTAAATCGATATTATATAGGTTCCTTGGGTATCAAAAGTCAAAATATGGTTTAATTACTTACACCAATATATTCATAGATGTAAAGCTGTATAAGTTTATATAAATATATAGTAGTACAAGTATACATTTTCTTTTTCATTCTTTAATTTTGTGAAGGTTTCTGAGAGTTTTAACATAGTAGATATTTTTGACAAATGTGCAGTAGTAATAGGTATCTAGTGGAGATTAAATAATAGTATAGTACAATATTTAAACCCACTAAAAGTTTTTTTTAATTTTAATCACCATTTAAATAGGTATATCTTTGTTGCAGATTAGACAAATTCAGTAGGTACCTATCCCTTTTCCTAGTGTACAAGCAATTTGTTTTTTTTTTTTTTATCAAGTACCTAAATATAAAATGCATAACTATTAAAATGTTTATACATATTCAGTACTCTATTCTTTCCATATGGTATTTTTGAAATAGGTATCTAGATTATGACAACTATAAACCAATTGGATGTTTTTTTTTTTTTAAATTATCATTAGTTTAACATACTCTATTTGTCTTTCCAGGAAGTCCACTCCTATGGTTTTTTTATAGTCTCGTGTAAACGTTCCTCTGCAGTAACGCTGAATCATACTCGATTTTCCAACTGCACCATTTCCCACGATCACCACCTAAAACCCAATGTACGTAGTTAAGTAATTTAATTGCATTTAAAACTGTTGTAAATGTACAGTTGTAGAACATATTATGCAGTAAAATTATATTTAAATGGTATGCACCTTTAACGCTATTTCTAAATCTTCTTCCCTCATCACTCATAATTGTGTTCGTCCACCGATTAATTTTCTGTAAAAATATACATATAAATATTAATAAAGGTAAAATAATATATATTATTTTTGCAGCTTGAACAATTTTTCTCATAAAAAAAAAAAAAAAAACATATCGTTAACGGTACAGACAAAATTGTTTTTACATAATATGCTATTGATATTAGGTACATATAGAATGTTAGTGAGTATATTAAATTTCGCGTAGAATACGAGTTAAAATAGCTATACTCTAAACGATTCCGTTATTGAAACACATTTATTATTTTTTTAGTGAGTAGGTAGGTAGGTACCGGTTGGCATAATTACGATGGCCGGTAGGTAATAAAGTTTAAATTTGATCGAGAATTTTTATTGTTCGTTTTTACCGTGTTATTATAATATTTTCAGAGCCACTTATTCGGTAATAGTACAAGCATAATATATTGTATTATATTATAATTTGTAGGTTTTCCGTGGCATTCGATGAGGCCACAATTTTTATGCCGAACACGCGAATTCCGATAACAAATTGGGTTGTTCAATAATATGCAATTACCTACCGGCTGCCAATACAAAGTAGGAAATAAGATAATACGTACATGTTATATAGTGTAATTTTATCTGATGGCAAGGATAAATATTATTGTTAACGATTCTGAGCGAAGCTAGGCGTTATGTTAGACATGCATCGAAAACTGTATTAGTTTATAACCACGAAAAAAACATAACAATAATTATTGTCCGTACTTTTTCGTCTCGAATTGTCGAATGTTTTCTACGAGAATGACCGGAAGAATCGAGATACAAAATACGAGTGTTTAGGGGTTCGAAACACCCCTCCCCCTTTCCATTTCCCCGAAATACGAAAAACGCTACTTCGAGTGCAACGTACTACACAGAGGGTAAATCACTAACGGAAATCACAGTGTACAAATGTCAGAAAACCATATACAGGAAATGTCGGTAATCGTCGGGAAAATCGCGCGGTATCCTGGAATCTGGCGTACAAACTTATATTGATTTGTGATTTGCCTTCTGACAATATCGATACTAGTTAAACAGTTCAAACATTATTTCACTTGTGCACCGGAATCGCAACCCGACCAAATGTGTTTTCCTGTACTAATACGCGTCTGTGTAACAACCGACATATTATTATATTGGCAAGATATTTCAAAATGAATATTTAGCTACGAGATACTACACATATAGATGTTTATGATATGTAATAATTAATAAGTAATGCGATTGTGTACGAGACACTCGTTAATTGCATTTTGCGTACAGGTATTTCGAATCTTTCACGTATGTAGGTAGCTTAAAAGACGCGGTATTTATTTGAAACACGTTTGTCGACATTTCCAACGATATTATTTTCACCACACTTTTGTACAATCGCCCGTTGCTTTCGGAAAAAATTTCTCGAAAAGCCGGAGGGAAAAAATGTACGCCCGATGATCCGGACACCACTAATTACTAATTATATACTATAACTATAGTAATTTATTAAAATGTGTGTTGAGTATCCAGTGTCGTTAACGTTTCTTTTAAAAAGAAATTCGTTTCCGTTTCTCGTTCCTACTGCAAATAAGTTAATAATAATAACTCATTCCTTACTTAAGCGTTTCTTTGTGAATATCTTATGGAGTCCAAAATAATTTTTTTATATTCTTAATTTGAAAATATCACTAATTAGTTAGCTTTGGAACAACAAGTCGTGTATCAACAAAAAACTGATTGGCAGAGTCTCGTCTATTAGATTCAAAATTGTATAAGCGAAATTTGTCTCGCCAAACGTGTTTCAGAACACTTTCCAGAGAAGAACAAAAGAATTACAATATTTACGTCCACATTCTTAAAAATAAGGAATTGATTAGTTCACCACAAGCTTGGCATAAAGGTGTAGGCAATTTTTGTAATTTCTTTAATATTTTGTAATTTGTATTTTATAAAATATCATTTAAATAATGAAAACAAAAAATTCACGTTCCTAATCCTATTTAAAAATAATGGAATTAATTCCGTCATTCGTTCCTCTAAAAACGAATCAATTTCAGAAATTACTCCATTAGAAACGCGTTCCTTAAGAATACCGTGACTAAGTACCGATATTTATGTTTTAGGAATCTTCGATACCATCCACGGAAGTAAAAAGGACTCGAGTCGATTTTTGCCGTTTATTCGTCTAACGTATTTTATTTTTTATTTTTGCCGTCCGAATTGCGCGAGCGTGCGTATTTTCGAAAATTCTTATAGTCCGTTGGTCTAGGTATACGAACGTGTGTATTTTGAACGTTTGATTCCCGTGTATATTTTAAACGGCGCGCAAAGATTCGCGATTGGCGGCGCGTAAGCGTGTTATAATATTGCGTGTCTCGGGAACCGTAAAACATAAAACAATACCTTTAATTGTAGAACGGTGGGGGGAAGAAAGGGGGTGCGGACATAATAACAATAATTCCGTCAGAAACTGCGCGTATAATGATAGGAAAAAAAAAAAAATAAAAAAACGAAGGCGGCGGCGACGACGACGAGCTCCGTTCAAAACGCATGCACCGAACGTCCGAGTCGTTGACCCACGCATTTTTCACATGATAATAATACAATAATTATTCGTACACGGGTATAAAATAATAGACGCGGGTACAACAACAACAATAATAATAATAATATACGCATCATATAGTCCGATGAGAAAAAAAAAAAAAAACCATTGCCTTGGAATATTATTTCGTCCGTATTTTAGATATTATTGTACTATAATTCCTAGCTGGCAGTTATATTGTACGAACGCGACGATATTTCGCACTCGTATTATTATTTTCTGATGTGTACGTTTTTGCGCCTGGCGCCAGACAAATTATAAACGAAAGAATAAAAAATAAAAAAAAAGGGCGATCGCGATCTATACACAATTAAGGCTCGGATTTTAAAGCGATGAAAATGACCGAAATATGACCTGACAAATAAGCGCTATTAAAAAAAAAAAAAAAACACCCACGAAAAATGGCGATAAAAAAGGAAGTGTTTTTTTATTTCAATCTTTTTTTTTTAAATATACAAACACAAACGATAAGAATTCATAAATGTAGACTGCTCGATGGGTCGATATACGCCGGGCCGCTTAAAAATTGATTATATAATATTCCAAACGAAAATGTAGGTATTTTTCTTATGGATTCGCACAAATGACAGATTTACTATATTTTAAAATCCAAAAATAAATCATTATAATATGTATATTAACAGTAAAAAAATAGCACTAAAAATCTAAAATACTTCAAATATACGAAAAAACAGCGACATAAAATTTCCCATTTGGCAGGGGCGTAACCAAGTTGATATACCGGGTAGGTCCGGGCCTACCTAGATTTTCTATAAAAAAACAACAATAATATACTTGTAGATTATTATACTCTTATTTACAATAGTACTAGAACAAAGATTAGATGCGTAAATAACCGGAGAGAAAAGAATTTTGAGATTGAAAAATTATGTAATTTTACAAAAAACTTTTTCATTTTCATTCCGAGGAATTTCTTATTAAATTAAAATCAATTAATGTGCATTGAGTAAAACATTATTTTCATCTAGTTTTCGATTTACTGAATTGTTTATCACGAAAATCATCCGACGGCTAAACTCTAAAGTCTACACGATTGAGATTTTTTTTTCTCGGCTTTTTAGAAAAAAACGCGAAAATTCGATTAAACCAACGTACTGTTTTACGGGGAAAAAAATCAAACGCGTACGACGGACGTTTTAAATGTTATTAGTCGATCAGTGCGAAAAATTCGCATTCATCCGTATACGCCCTAGGGTCAAGCATCGATTTTGATTTAGATCGACGGTAGAGGGATGCTTAATCTTTAAAATTGTATCTCGTTTTGGTTAATTAGTATACAGCAAGATAAATAAAGGGTTCGTCGCACCCATTAGAAACAATATATAACAAAACATAGGACTTTTTAAAAATACACTTTGGACGGCCAATTTCGATCTGTAAAAGTCCGTCTGAATAATCGAAAAATACTGAGACATTTCATATTATCCGTGTAGGTGATGTCATTACGGTGAAGTCAGTGGTAGCGATACCCCACCATTTTTATAGAGATTGCAAATTAATAGCTATACGCTATACTAGAATAATAATTTGTGCGATAAAAAAAAAAAAAAAAACAAAAACAAAATGCATACTTATTTTATTTATTTACAGCCGCATAAAACAATATTTGTTCAAGTTTAGATCGAAAAAAGACACTTAATTTTTTTTTTTTTTTATCGACGATACAGAATATAAAACCGTTGATGTATTATATTTTGTTGATTTTGGCGAGAAAAACAAAAATGTAACCGGGAAAACCGTTTGCTGAGTGGTTATTTTCCAAAGGGGCTGTAGACGAATTCGGGGCGGCGGCCATAGACCCCTTATTCCCCCCCCCCACCCATTAGGCACATGCGGGTATACTATGGTCACACACCGTCGTATAGTAACAATGCAATAATGTTATCATACAAGTACGACGTGTATACAAAAAACACGGGCGTCATTATTTTCAGACGGATTACACGAATATTGTAATTACGGCGTCCAATTGAAACGGGTTGGGCGTTTCGTAAAAATACAGCGCACGTTGCACCGTATAAATAAGAAATATGCATTTTACGATATTATTGTGCGTGTGCACATAAATAGCGAAATAAACGTACCTACTAATGTCGGTAACTAATATCGTGTCGAAGTAAGTAATATCCGTTATTATCCGTTGGATACAAATGGTGGACCGGGCGCGGGGTATCGTCCTGACGAAAAACGGTAGTGAATCGAACGAATCGTCTTATTAGCAGTAGAGGTATACGGTATTAAAGTCTCCGAGAAAAAAAAAAAATTAATATATTTATCGCGCTCTAGATATTTTTATGGGTTTTGTACGGGTTTTACAACGATACCTATTTATTTTTTCTGTTCTTCTGCAGTGCACAACTTTTCTATTAGAAATTTCTCTCCGATTTTTCAGTGTAAAGCGATTTTTCCGAAAGGATCAAATCTGACCGGAGCGGTACTTTAGGAAGGAATTTTTTTTAATTTTCTCAAGGGTTTTCAATTTTCATAACAAATTCGAAAAGCCGTTGGTAAAAACGGTAAAATTCACGAAACGTATTATTTTCAAACCGTGAACATTACGTCTTTTCGAAAGACAGAATTCCGCTCGGAATCGTTTTTCGTTAGCAATAATGACAGTCGTTGCGTACAGAAAATAATATACATATATTTTCCCATCTATCTTCCCGAATTTTCCCCTACAACAGCGGCCCACCCATCGTGCAAAGTACGTCCGTTTGTTTTATTTTATTCATCTCGTAGGTAAGAGGGAGACGCGAGATTTTTGAAAATCTACAAAAGGGGCGTAGAATAAAAGAGGTCAGTTACCACAGTTATGATGTTCATAGTGGACTCATTTCGAAATACTATCGCGGCAGTTTAATTCTCCATTTTCAACTACCGATTCAACCCCCCCCCCCTCCGAAGCGATATTTTAACAATCCGGGGACGCCGGCCGTGATTACAACGCCGGATTAAGGTTTCACTGGACTCCGGGTTCCAACCCGTAAAGTTTTTTTTACGAATTTTACCGTAATATTATTTTTTTTACCGAACGTTGGCGTTTTGTATACTATTGTGGGCGACACGAAACGGACGACATAACGAACTCGAGTTGATCATTACGTCCGCGGGTCACGGTGACACGGTTTCTCGTGCCCCCCTCCGAAGAGTCCGGTTGCCAGTGCAGTTGTCGGCACACTTATTTCGTCATGTCTACACCGATATTTCGTGTTAAAATACTCGATAAGCGTTGCATTTTGTACTCCAAATACGATGACGTTTCGGTACCGGGCACGCGTTGACTTTTATCACAGGTTGTAAAAGAGGTTCAAATATAATCCATAACGGTAACAGTATGTATCGAACTTTGATGTTTGTTTTGATTAGCTCGTGTCGGATTATAAAGAATACCGTGTCGAAATTACTGTGCACGCAGCGAAAAGTTTAAAAACAGTTTTACGTATTCGTGTGTCGTATACGTAATATGATCCGTACTCATCACCCCTTTGATGGGGTTTTCAACAAAAATAAACAAATGTTACGTATACCTACCGACGCATTAACGTTTTCGGTGACCGAGGGGGCGGGGAGGGGGTGTTTTTGGAGGGGGTTACAATACGCTGACCTCTCCCGGCTACGCCATTGTACGTGAAATATACACACAAATATAGACTACGAAACACGATTTACCGTGTCGTGTTCACCGCGGCCCTTGATAAACGAAACGTACGACGTTAGAAACATTCAACAGATGTGGGACACTGGTACGCGTCGTAAACATTTTCCCGTCAATTAACAACGAGAAATATCATTCGTGGAGAAGATGGATGCTATTACTTCGGATCGGTTTTGATTAGTAATCGCCCGGGTTACGAAACCGCATTCTACTCAATTATTACCTATTCAAATACCGTGTTAATTGGCGACGGCGATTTTCGGCCAACGGTCGCCTCAGACGGGCACATGCGATTATGAGTAACGACACGAAAGTGTGAAATTTTGACTATAACCCTGTACCTAGGTACATTTTTTTTTTTTTCCGCGGGCCAGGTCGGTGGTTCGTTAAATATATTACGTACGCGGTAAAAACAAACAAACATAAAAAAAAAAAACAGCCGCCAAATACGGACGGTTCGTCGGATTTCACTTTACAAATAAGTATACATTACGATGCGCGTCGATTCGTTTAACACCGGCACCGGTCAGAAATTGTTTAATGTGACGTTGATAAACGCCGCACAGCCAATAGGTGTATTATGTGTTATTGTGCGGTTCGAGCGGACAATTATTTTCGGCGTACCTACGTAATATTAATATTGTTATTGATCGCGAGCGGCAATGTTTCTTACCTGTAGCACTTTTCGGACGGCGGGACGAAATCCGCCATAATCGTTACCGTAATGTTTCGTTTTATAACTTTTTCGTGTGGTTTTTTTTTTTTTTTCTATCTATTTTTACAACCGCATAAAGGTTTTTCGAAAGTCGACACAGAAACGAAAAAACAAACCGATCTATCAATTAACACCGGGACGACGCGGGTTAGCGGCGAGACGCGAAACACTCGCACCAATACATAACGCGAAATACAATGGTACAAGACGCCGTCAAAGTGTAATATAATAACGATATAGGATTCGGTCGTAAATGATTTAGACACGAAAAAAAAAAAAAAAAAAATTACCACTTCCCTTTTACGGGTTTGCGTGCCGACGGAACATAATAATGGTAAACAACAATCCACTACTATGGACGACGCGTACACAACAACAACGCCGCCGGAACGTTGTTGGGAGCTATCAGCCGCGGTCGCGGTGGCGGTCCAATTACGGGTTTCGGTGGAATGCGTACAGGATGTGTAATAAAAGAACAGGTGTAACGTGACGTACCAAGGTAGAATCTCATGGAAGAACCGACCGACGTTTCGAAAGCGGTTTATTTTAACGCGCCAACTGCAACAGCCGCGGTGCTAATGCGTTCAAAAGAGGAATATGGGTAATAATAATGGGCGATAGGTGATTTTCCGCGCCGCGTTCCCCGTCGGATTTTCGACGGATCCAATGGATTCCGACGTTTTCGGACAGTGATATTGTGTAAACCGTCCGAGCGCCCCTATATCGGACTTTATTTTATTATGAAATTATATCGGTTTTTGGTGAGGGGGGGGGAGTCCAGGGGGTCTGGAAAATACTAAACACTGTGTTCCTCGACAACATCAATCCGGCGTTCCATCAAAACCAGACGAGTAAAATTTAGAGCACACTGTTTTTACGTGTACAGCGTACACGATTTCCCGTGTTCACGTGTAATTATTCACGTTTACACGTGTATTTACGCATTCTAGTATAAACAATAATAATCAGTTTATCGACTCGACATTGGCAGCACGTAAAGGCCGGTCATTCACTGTTTATATTCTCACTTTAGTAACTATTGGTAGGTACTACATAACGACCTTTTAATATCCGTGAATAAACCATAAAACATGTGAACATGGATATTAAATGCGTGTGTATTCAAGGACACCGTGTACAGGGAGGCTCTGGGGCTGCAGTCCTTATGAGCTTGATAAGACGGAGCTCAGCCTCTTACGGTTATCATAATATAATATAATATTATTATAAACAAAAAAAAAAATCAATATTTGTCATGTACGTCTTCAAAATACCAATTTTATTTATAGCGAATTAATCGAAAAAGATAAGCGGTTTTTTTTAATATTGATTTTGGTAATCAACCAGGTTCTTGGTTAATTTACTGGTGTTTGCCATTTTTTTAAATTTTTGTATAGTTATTTATCAAGATGCTAATACTATCAAAATGTAGTAACATACCAAACAACAAATAACTATATTTTAGTGAAGTGTTTAACGAACAATATTCAAGGAAAATAAAAACAGGAAATACATTGATACATGATGAGATTTAGGTGAAACCGTACGCGTGTTTATAAAATAGTGAGCCCCCCGTGATATTTTCGAAATCTGGCGCCTTTGCCAGCATTAATTGTACGCGATTACGGACTTTTCATGTTCTTTGTCGTGCGATGCGCGTAAGCGCATAATATGATCACATAACTCGATAGCGAAAATCGGTAATAAAACACGATGTTCGATTATTAGCAAACGATTGCTCCGTAGACGGTCTCAAAACTCGATTGATACGAACACTAATGTAAACATTAATATTAAAATACCGAGACGATTTCGTATTGATACCAGACGTCGCGTTCGGTGGGCAGTGTTGTGGTCACGCAAGGTTTATAGATAACATTATCTATACAAACAGTGGTACGTGATAGCAATATCGGTATTTCGTTGATAACGAGCGGTTACTTGTTGCTATCACCTATCGCCCGTCAGCTGCCGCTGCAGGCTGCTGAACCGTTTACTTGTTGCGGACGCGGTACGACTGCGTAGGAGATTGTAGAACGTTTTGTTTACAACGTCCTATGGCGTTCGATAATTCGGTTTTTCGTTATCACTGTTTGAGATAAACGAAATTTTCACAAAGTAGCAGTCAGGTGTAGTCAGTAGTTGATAAGTGATTTAGTTTACCAATGTTGTTATCATTTGTACATAAATCAGTGTTTGTCAACAATAACAGTATTATTATAATGGCGTTCGGTGGTTTGTAGTCTGTTTGAATATGATGTTTATGTAAGTAATTTTCAATTTAGTATAAATATAAACGAATGAAATAAAATACGTGACCTTTAACGCTTGGCTTGTCCTATTTTTTTTTTCATCCGATCTGCGCCTTTTTTGGCATTAAACTCGTCGTTCTCGTTATCCATTATTCTCTAAGACAAAACACTCGAATCGCCGTCTTCGCTAACAATAATATTATTGCGAAACAGAAATAACGATAATAAAGTTTATGCGCGTTGTCATACGGTACTTATCTAATATAATGTGTACCTAACGCATTATGCTGTGTGAATAATGTATACAAAATAAAATTTAAAAAAAAAACTTTCACTTGTTAAGACCGCGTTTAATGAAAACATGTTCGAATCGAATAATTCGCTATAAATTCTATAGGTATAGGTAACGTTTAAATACTCGCGTACGATTTTAAAATGGTTGGCTACACATATAAACACTGCGGTGTTGAGTGAAAGTTTAATACTGCAGTAGGTTATAGGTGCCCAACACCAAAATTACGCCCAACGATATAATTTCCCTTTTAAAAGTCGGATCGGCCTACCGGAATATCGGGGACCGATCTCCCAAACGAATATTAACCATTTTTGTATTGTATTAGTACTAAACAATTACAACTACACAGAGTTCAAGTATAACATATTTTATTTTTACGTTTCGAAACGCAGTAGGCAAATGCCAGTGCTGGGCATTAACGAGTTAATAATTGAACGTTAAGTTAATCTAACTTTTTAACTTAATAAATTGCTTTTTTTCTTTTTGAACTATTAATTATATTGTTAATTCGAGTTATACAAACGAATTAACTTTTAATCGACTAGAGTTAATTTTTTATTTAAACAATTTAAGTTGATTTCGATTTTTATTTTTATGCTCATATTAATCATTATATTATTATGAGTATTATGAAATACAAATCGTTACGAATGCCTGTTATTTTTTACTGTTGTCGCCAGTTATATAGGTAGATTATTAGGCCATTATAATAATAGACAATATGTACATTTTTTTTTTTTTTAATAACTAAACTTGAGTTAAAAAGTTAATTTTAACTAATACCTTAGTTGAATTAATAGATTATTTTGAATTAACTTTATTTAAATTTAAATTTAACTTAATTCATTAACTTGTCTAGCCTTGGCAAATACCAATTTTAATTTTGTAATATTCTTGTAGATATAATCTCGGTACTATATTCTATATTTATTTTGGCCTTATCGCAAAATAAATAAACTCGCACGCATTTCATCATGCTCAGCTATATGGCGATACATTGAAGTATAAGTACCCGGTATAATAGTAAAAATACCGAGAATTATCAAGGTTGTTAATCAAAAGACGCGATAATGTATTAAAAAAGTAATTAATATATGCTTAAAATTTTAAAAAAAAATTCGAATACATATCTGTCACGTTAATTTAGACTAAAAATTATTTATTTCTAATAACTGCTATTAGCGTCAATATTATGAAAAACTGCAAGTTAAAAGTCAACCGAGTAACTCAATATATTCAATATATTCAATGTATTCAATATATATATATATATATATATATACATGGCGATTATTGTATCATAATAAACCAGCAATTTTTTCCGAGAATTTTTGGTAATATGAATTTGATTTTTGTTTTTTTTTTATTATCATTACGAAATCGGTTAAGCTTTATTTTAGCACTATTTTCAATTTTGTCTTCCCACTCCGTATACGTTTGTAATTAGTATCTATTTTTGGTTTTTCAATCACAGATTCAATCAGAGAATATTTTTCTTGACATTTTGATATGCGTAACACTAATATGAGATTATGATAAATCTCATATTAGCATTTTATGATGGTATACGGAGTAGGGCTAAACAATTAAAAACGGTTTTAAAATAAAGATTAAACGATTGATCAAATTCGTTCGAGAAAATTGCCGATTCATGATAAAAAAATCATTACTTTGTAGTACACTATGATATGTACAATTTTCTTTTTATTGTCAAAATCGATTAAATGTAGTCTTATGCATCGAAATCTTCGATAAAAATATGAAAAATTGTAATTCTCGACCAAAAGCAATTCCTTGGCTGAACATAATTCGATTTAAATAATCAAGTTACCCGTTAAAAATAATAGTTGGCGATCACGACACACTCTACCGTTACGATACCGTGAATTTTAGAGAAATACCGTGGTTCCGATTTTGGGATCGAAACAATCTGGCAAGTTATTATATAGGAGAGGTTAGGTTACCCTTACCGGGCAAGGTAAGTTCATATGTGATGAGATTCAACTGTAAACAATATTTACAGGTAGGTCCTTTGGAATAGAATATAGATTGTATGTATATATATATATTTTTCTGGTTGGATTATATCTCGAAATATTTGCGTATTTACGGGGGGAGATTAGGGAGATTTATCTCTCTCCTTGAATCTATTATCTACACGACATTTAAATTAGAATTTCTTTACTATCTAGTCGGAAAAATCAAAACTTTGATGTGTCTATATACTTACCTACCTATTGGCTGTTATGCAGTTGACAGTGTTAATTTATCGAAAAACCTGAACGTATACGTTTTATTGTTAACCTATTATATTCAAACCGCTAAAATATGAAGGAGATTAGATAAGCACATATATAAATCGTAAACCGATGAATCACTGATCGACGAGGTACACGTAGAATAATTGTGCGTTACTTGAAATGAATTACAAATTAAAAATTGATCTTTTTTTTTTTTTACCCTTGGTGCACGTTACACAATATATGACATAATTTTCAAATTCAATATCTCCCTCCTTGCCAAAATCCTAAATACGTCTCGTAGGGAGTTTGACTTTTCAGTAAATCCCTGTGTCGACGCGTACGTACTGCATTTGTATGTTTTCTACGGGCTTGTAAAGCAATTGGTTTGCTTTCAAGTCCTGTGATTCCGCCGTGTATACATAGAAACGAAATCGATATTTAAATCCAAGAACCGCGGCCATAATAATGGGTTATGCAATTTGATACAATTGTTATATGCATTATTTTATGGCTTTTATTTTCCTTTGTGTTTATCCCGTGGGCGTGGACGCACCTGTTCAATCGCACTTAATGAAAATGTATACTTTTTGACATGTTGTATTGACGAACACACGCTGTACATTTTGTTAAAATAACTTCGTATCCACGTTTGTGTGAACAGTGACGTACGCAGGATTCATCTATCGGCTTTATTAATATAACTCGGGTAACAAAACATATTTTGCAAAATACATACAACGTATTATACACGGTAGTAGAACAATATTCGTATTTTATTTCCCCCCCCCCTCCACTTTAACCGTTATACCAGAGAGAATCTGTTTTCACAACACTTCCCCACTGTCGCCAAATTGCAATTAATGTATACTCGATTGTATAAGTAGTGCAAATGTGCGACGATTACAATTTTATTAGTAACGTGTGTTTTCAACGTAGAATATTTTATATTTTCGTTTGTTTTAAATACGGCCCCTCGGGTACGCCGCTGCGTCTGAGCGTATTTAGGATATTTTATTTTGGTTTTGTGCCCATCACGTCCATTTAAATCCGTCTCCCACAGTTTTCAATCGCGTGACGAATGATTCGAGGTTTCCTCTCCGTTTCTCGGTGTATATTATGAAAAATGTCACGAAAACATAATCATCTCGTAAACGAAAAACAATCATTTTATAGACTATTAAAAGCCTGACGTCTCTTAAAATCCTGACGTCCCGACCCGATATACGACCGTCCGTGTGGAACGTCTCTCGCGTCTAAACGACAGCCGGCGCGCTGTTGTGCGCACAACAATACGCGTAAATAACGGGGTGTGTGCGCGTACCGTTACCACCGGCGTGATGACATTCCGGCGAGATGATACAATAATAGTAATAACAATAACAATAACAATAATAACAATATTATCATTATAGCGACCCACTTGTGCCGATTGTCGCGAACCCGGATTGATCGCGGCCTGTCCGTCTCTCGGCCGTACCGATTTCCACGGGTCGTTTTATCGCGGACGGTCGCGGTGACGGGCCAACGGGAAATTCCCGTCTCGGAATAATTGCACGAGATAAAAAAAAAAATTAACCCGTACGTCCGCGGTATTATTTCGGGGCGGCAGTCACGTCCGACGTCAAAACATCATTGTGCCGCCGCCGTTATCTTTGTCACGGCCCCCGTTATCGTACCGCGGGCCCGGTACGTCGCGATCCGTGGGCGGACGTACGTCCCGCGGCGGTGGTGAGAGGCGCGAACACCGCGCCAGCGCACGTTGGCGGCGAGCCCGCGCTGTTGCACATGTCCCGACGACGCGCGTTCCTCAGTCCGCCGCACATTGTCGATAATCGCGCTGGTACCTTAAATGCAAGCGCTCCGGTCTGCCCGCCGTCCGTCGTTACTGCCGCCGCCGCCGCCGCCGCCGCCCGTATCACCGTTTTGCGCAGCCTTTTTCGGGATAATATAATAATAAATTAACTATCAGTCGTCGGCACAGATACCCTGTAATATTATCCGCATCGTTTCCCGCGCGCCGTCCAATATCGTCGGCCGTCGTCAACGCGCTCACGCAAACACACACGCGCGGGGCATAATCGGAAAACGAACACAAGCATTAGGTACGTACATTGAAAAATGCGCGTTTCCCCGCTGAAAGACTGTTTTTTTTTTTTTTTTTAAATTTTCGCGTCCGTCCGGCAGCCGGCGGTGAGTTGCAGTGGGAGCAGGACGAGCCGGAGAATAGCCGTCCGTCGCCCGTAATCCGCCGGCGCAGCGGGGTGCCGCGGCCGCCGAGGAAGCACAGACGGCGATGCCAGCGATGAGCGAAACCAAACTGTTGATCGGCAGCGATATGATAGCGTCCAAAGACATGCTCAATCCGTTCGTGCACCATCTGGAGCTGACGTCCACCTACGACAAGTTCAAGGTAATGCCCCCCGACACTGATTTTCGGATTATAAAAACTCGTAATAATCACCGAGGGTAAATCACCGATAGATATTTGGTACACCGGATTCCGGTATTACTACATAGCTTTCCCGACGATTACCGAACGTTATCATACGCCGATTTCCGTTGGCGGTGATTTACCCTCCGATAATATTATTTGCGATTTGCTGCGCATACGTTGTATACTATTATATACGTACCAAAACGTAACCCGATACGTATCGCGATGCACAGCGCGATCGCGGACCGACGAATTTTTAGAATTATTTCGACCATATTTTCGATTTTTCGTCCCTAATCTTTGTACCCGAGAGACGATCACACGACCCTTCCCTACTCGCCTACAAAAACTACAAACTGTTGTTGTAACTGATAAATATACTCGATTTCGTGTTATATGCCAATCGAAATCTGTCGAAAAATATCTTCTAGTTCGACCGTAGTCGGATAGGGAAAAAAAAAAAAACGGAGATCGAATTCGTTTAAAATCCTCCGAGAAAATCGCCGGTTGGTGAAAATATTATGTCTATCGCGGTTTACGTATTATTATAATATTTTTCGTACGCGTACATCGTAATCGGTTTAAAGTCACGCGGATCGTAAGTGCATTTCCCGGTATACGCTAACGATATTATTGACGTAATAATAATAATAATAATAAAATAGTGATCGTACGCTTACGAATATTGCTGTGAAATTCCCGAGGGGATCGGTGGCGACGATTTTCCGTCTTACGCGCGCATTGGCGTACCCGGCCCGGGCCTTACGGGGAGGACGAAACATATTTTCACCGGCTTTCGAAATAGAAAACGCCTTAAAAAAGTAACGGTCACGGTTACAGCGGTTTTATATCGATACACTTGGGCTTTTTTATGTTTGTAAAACATAACGTTTATAATATGTACGGGTATAAGAAATTTGTATTCAATTAAATAAATACTATTATTAGAACGTGTGTTATGCATTTTATAATGCAAAGTCTAACCTCTGGTTATTCATAGACGATAATTCTTCATTGATATCGTCCACTGGCTTATTACTTATTTCCCGGTAAATACGCAACAATAGTGCGAGCCCGCGTACTATACATGCGATCCAGGCATATTTATTTTGAAACCAGAAATCAATGTCAAGGGACGACGGTCAAACCGCCAAAACGAAATGATAACATCAGAAACCTTGATTCGGTTCGACCATATAGTTTACCAAAAATATTAACATTAATACTTTCGGATGGTATTTTCGTCAAAATTCGATATTAAAATGTTTATAAAAAAATTCTATATTACACTCATTTCTATTTTGGTCTTACAATTTTGTCTCCCTACCGAATAAAAATTACGTAAAAACTCGCAAAATTAAAATGTCTATAAACGACTAAAAAATGGCACAAATGCTTTGAACATTTTACTACGCCTAAGAAAGGTAAATATAAGTTTTATTTCTAAATTTCAAGTCTCTATGAATATTTTCAACTGAACCGCAACAAAAACCAAAATTTAAAATAATAGATACATTTTGGAAATTTTCTCGTTTTCCTGCGTTTTTCCCCGAGTTTTCCCGATTATTATGAAAACCGTTTGGACAATTTAAAAGTTACCGGTCTTAAAGTACCGCCTAAATAAAATTTTCTTTCAAAAAAAAAAAAACACTACACTTGAAAATCGGAGCAAGATTTCTGGTATGTTGTTTACAGATAAAAAAAAATATAAATCAAAAATAAGGTCACATTTATAAGCGTAAGGGGAAACTTTAGTTTCTTGAAACCATTCAACTAAAAAACAAATAGGTACGCTCACTGAGTTTCACATATATTTTATTTAACCTTCAAAATAAAAGTATATGAGTAATATTTATTATTTAAAATTTTCACATAATATAATAATTACATATATATAGAAACGTAAGTAATGATTAACATAAAAATAACACTCATAATATGTTTCTTTTATTTTACGAAATATCGTTTCCGGACAGTGTATTAAATTATTTTGTCAAATTAATTGCACTAAACTGCGACTTGAGCAACTCGAGCAACTTGAGACATTTTATAGAGAAACTTCGGAATTTATCCTCATCGGCGGTTAATATGTCTTTGCTACTACACAGCCTGCTTTCCTACGTTGTTTATCATTTAAAAACGGATGAATACCTATGTGTTTTTTTTTTTTGCATTTATGAAGCCACCAATATAACACACGAGCACATCCTCGTCCTCGGACAACATTGTTGAAGTTATACATTTTTAGTTTCACAGGCGTGTGTACGAATAGGAAATATGTTTCATGAAATTGCAGGTTTCTTAAAATTATAGTTTCTCTATAGTGTGCGGCCCGCCTAAACGATCGCAATATCATTATTATTGTTGTCGCATATCGCGTGTATAATTTTTTTTTTTGTTTATTACTGTACAAGAAAATACGAAAGTACGAGATATTACGAAATATCCGCGTACGAAAAACGTCAACATGTTATCACGAACCCGCGATAGTTTCCAAGCGAATTCGATTTCCGTTTGTTTGTTTTTTTTAAAAATATAGTTATAACGGAATCGTAAATATGTTATTTTGACGATACATTCGTATTTTTCACTACTCTACCACTCGTTTAGAGGATATTTTTCGACAAATTACGATAGGCGTATATTATTGCGTTACAATGTCGGATTTACAACGCAGCCGGGTTTTCTGTACGTATATATTATAATAATAATAATATCGATTATTATAAAATTATTATTAAATCGATTGTTGCGTAAGCACTGCCGAGCACTTGTGTCGTTTCGAAACAGTGCAATATTACCGTGTGTACGTGGTTTTTTTTTTTTGTTTTCATATAAAAACGCAACCGAGAATACTCGGTAACGTACACTATGTACAATAGTAAAAAGAGCGGTCGCCCATTATAAAATAACGCGAGCAAACATATTATACTCGAGCATGCGTATATACAGAGCGTTCGCCCGTTGTAATAATACGAGCAAACACTCGCGTGTCTGGGTGTGTGTGTGTGTGTGTGTGTGTGTATATAAATTAATATTTTAGCCGGACCTACTCGAGATATCGAAACTGGGGATTTATTATTTTTTTTTTCACCAAATCCGAAGTCGGTGACGTACCTCCTATGGGTTTCGACCGCGACGGTTTTCGATTTTTTTTCTCACCTCTACGATACGCGCGCGCTCGCGCCATAAAACGTACGCATTTCGCAAACGCGGAAACACTTAATACTCGTGTTTTGAACGCCGCTGCAGATTCGCGACCAGTTTTTCAACCGATTTGGGCAAAAAAATATAATATATTATAATACATAGGCGTCTACAGTTTTTGTCCATCTAGAGTGGATTAGAAAAAAAAAAAAAAATCAAAACATACATGCTTATAAATATTTTTTTTCTCCGATTTATCGTGTTTTTTTTTTCAACGGTCCGAACAGTAAATCAATAATGTCTAAATTACGGTCGATTTGAATTCTAAAACATTTTCGAACATTTTCGACGGAGTTCCGTCCCAAATGTGAAATTTGAATTTAGAGGTGTACTAGTTCGGTTCCGGGTTTTTAAAATGGATATTATACTAATTCCGTCCCGTGTAATTTATTAAGTCACACGAGTTCCGTCCCGTTTTGCATTTTCTACACTATACTAATGTAGTATACAATTTACGACTACGGTAACAATTTTATACTATTTAGAAATAAAGATAATATTGCTTTTAGTTATCGCACTAAATAATCGAGTTTGTATACACTAATACTTTAATATTATTTGCATTTTTTTCTGTATTTTAACACTGATAAGAACATTTTTAATCGGGAAGGAATTGATATATACATTTATTTTAATCGGGACGGAATTTTGTATGTACTTTTTTTCACTCCGGATGGAATTGGTATGTACTTTTTATTCGCCCGGGACGGAATTGGTATAAAAAAAAGGTTATTGAGACGGAACTCTGATGCTGCTGGCCGCTCTCTGTTGTGGCTCGATTGAAACAAAAAAAAAAAACCGTATTTGTTTCCGCATTGTTCGCATTGTGCGCGAACCAGTTCTGCTAGAGTAATGAAACAGCAACCACGAAAAATATGTACATATTTTATGCGTTGTTTATTTAAACTATCTGTACAGGTATCCCATTGTATTTGTATTTCTGACAAAATATGCATTAACTATTGTTCTGTTCGACGCTTTTAAGTTTTTTTTTTAATTTTGTAAAAATTATAGAGCCTCGCGCTATGATTCGTCTGTTTTTTATGCATTTTTTCAAAATTTAAAATAATGTTTGTAAAAAATCCAAGATTATCATTTTACAACAAGTATACTTTTAAGCAAAACTTCGGCGTTATAAGTGTAACAAATATCGTTAACAATATCATGTTTCTTGGAAAAATCGGCTCTTCGAATGATATTATTATACAGTGGCAATGAAAACGATTCAGACTATCGTTAAGTTCGACAAATTGTAGAAACTAAATGAAAAATGTATGTATAAAAATAAAATAAATAAATGAATGCACAGTGTATTATGATAATACTTGGAACATATAATACTCCAGGCGACGCATTCGTTACATTTTCATTAATTTTTCAAATACATTTTTTATTTATGTATTTATTTACGAGTATTATCCATTTTTAAAATTTTGTTTTTACTTTAGTTTTTTTATTACATAAAAACTATTGAACACAACCAAATTTATTGCGTTTGTCTGATCTCCGTGGGACCAGTATTTATATATGTATACAATAAAGCGCATACAATCGGGTTTTTTTTCCGGAAAACGAAATACGCTCGAGTTTACCCGTATATTATTATAATTTATAACTATCGGTTGGACAATTTCAGAGTCGTTGCAAAAATCCTAATTTATCGAACATTTTCTATGTACATTCACAAAAATCATTAAGAATTTATTCAATATTGATACGTTTTATTCCTGCAGTATTAGAATTATAATTTTTTTATTAACGAATTTTCGTGTCCAATAAAAAAAATTGTAAACAAAATATTTATAACGCTACACATTGCATTGTTTGTCTAGTTGCTAGTCGTTTGATTTTGAAACAACATATTATTATACCTATTCGCGAGACAGTAATATTGCGGCGACGGCGGGATCAAAACAAAAGCACGACCTTAAAACAATAAAACGTATTTCGATTGAGTCGCAGGTCAGAGATCGACGACTAAAATGACAATTTTATTACACAGGGGTTATCGATATCTGAGAACAGCTTTAAGTGTGTTCACCCGTTGACAGGACGCTATACCCGCATATGTTGTCTCAGTCTAACTAACGGAAAATATAGGAAAATCTACCGTGTGCAGACTGCGTGGAACTCGCTAATAATTTGGCTTTTTAATTAAAATCACCTATTACGTAGAATCTAAAGAGGAAATGTCAACACGTCGTTTAGAAATAAAAACTAATTCGTCGTTTTTAAACGATTGTAACATTTCAAAAAATAAACGCGTCGTCTCGCCCTCCGGTATACCGTCCGTTTAAAATTTTATAATATAGGTGCTTTTATTCGGAAATACCGAAATTAAGCGTGTTCTAGTTAGATGGATCTCGCTACGCATATAGGGAACGTAAGTCGGACTGAGACAGCACGTCATGCGGGTATAACGTTCTCTTAAAACGAAACGTTAAACGACCTTTGGACTGTTTATGGAGTAATGAAATGTAAAGCATCATAATTGAACATTGTTTTAAAGCGATTAGTTTTTTGTTTTTTTTTTTTTTCGTTAATATTTCAGAGACGTTTTGGACGGGCGTGAAACAACGCGAATGTTTTTAACGAACGACAGGAATAGCCGAAACCTATCGATTCGGCTGGCTTTAAGAGTATACAATCGCGCGCAGGTCTTAATATTGTTTCGTAGGCGGGTCGGTATACGAATATTCGCCGCGGAAACACTTTCTTCGTGAGCGTCCGTAATAACGTTCGTTTTTTTTTTTTTTTTTTTTAGTAAAAAATAATACGCGATATTGTTGTGCCATGCCACTACTATATCCGTATATGTAGGTACGTACTGTACACGTTTTAACATCGCCCGCGAAAACGATACGAAAAATACGAAAAAACACAATTTATCAAGCCGCGGTGCAGTATAGCTGCTGATACTCTTATCCCGTCGTTGTTCTTAATTGGTCGGTTTTTTTTTTCGCGTTGAAAGTCGTACACCTTAAGGGCCGCGGGCGTATGACGGCGAGTCGGTTCGGTTACATAGCTGCCGGTCACCCGATAGTTTATAACGCGCGGTCTGCAATGACGTAACAGATTTCTACGGAAGTGTAGCGCGTGCGTTACCTATACGCAGCTGCAACAGTATATTATAATCATATTTGCATAAACCGAAGACCGATTTGCTCAACCTGTTATTATATATATTATACATTAATATACGAGACTGTAAGATTGTTTTTTTTTTTTTTGCATTTCGTACACAAATTTTACCACGTCTAGGTAAGTCCGATATAAGTATTATTACCAAGTTTCAAATCTGCGTGTATTTATAACCAAATTACAGCAAAAAAACTTCAAAAATTAAAATTCCTTGATGGTTCAAAAATGTTTCATAAGTTTTGTCGATGATACCCTATGAAAGTAAATCAAAAAGGCAAAAAAAAAAAGGTGTCTTGTAATTTTTCGATTAAATCATTTTTCCTGGTGAAAAATGTCGTCCGTGTTTTTATAAAATAATAAAATCGTGAAATTGTACATTTCCCCACGTTTTTTTCCACTGAAGTGCTTTTATTTAAAAATGGCGTCGAAAATCAAAAAATGACCATCTAGACAACTTGAGCTTTCAGAAAAGTTGCTACATGTAAAAATCGGAGCAAGTTTATTAAAAAAAAACGTGTCCACAGACTAGAAGAAGAAGAAAAAAGAAACAAACAAACATCTTAGTAAAACCAATAGCTAAAACAAAATCACGATCAATACTACTAATACTACTCCGCTCAGAATCATTTTTTTTTTTTTGTTCGATTATTTATTGTTGCATATATAATAATAAACTAAATTACCTTGCATAATATCGTACGTCACCGATTAGCCACCTACAACAGTGTGGACTGTACCAGCGAGCAGTATCGTAATTTTTATTTTCGTTTTGCGCGAATACGACTACGCGTGGGTTTACTGACGAAATAAAAGTAAAAAAATAAAAAAAATCGAACGTTCGACGCGTACGCACACATAATAATTATTAGAAAATACAAGAGAGAGTACGCGTGTACGACGACGCGACGTTTACAAAATTAATTTTATAAAAACCATTAATAATAATTCGCTGTATTGATGTTATCAATCCATTATAGAGTTAGACAGTACCGACTTCCGACCGACGTGCGATGTTTATACACGGCTATTATTAAAAAATTAATTACATAATAATATCGTACACCTAATATCTCTACTCTACCATTTCAATATAATATTCAGTTAAAGCCTCGTTAAACTAAAGGTGTCCCCACCACGTTCGCTTATAAAAAGTGAAAAACGCGAAATTTAATCGAATCATGTATATATGTACTTCGTCTAGCGTATTATTTTGTTTGTAAATACATACTTCGTTAATATGCGAATTATTTATGCACGCCTATACTACTATAATATAGTAGGTACTATACATAATACTTGGTTTTTCGAATAAAACTTTCAGAGAAAAAAAAATAATATTGAATAATATTGAATCGCTAAACGGGGAATCCGATTGACTACTTGACTACTTCCTGTCCAGCGGATTTGCTATCTGCTGTTATTAGGAACATTCAAACCCAGCGGCTGACCAATCTGATTTTAGGAACATATGGACTATTATTGTTCATCAGCGTACATATTATTGTTTCCATCGAATCTAAAATTGCATTTTCGATCGCATTTTAATAGTCGCACCTTCAAGACTGAAAACCGTGACCACCGACTGCTATGATACCAGCAAGCCAAGAGAGAAGCATATTATTCATTTCGATTCGATTTATTTAGTTCACTTTTTAAGCGACAGGGGAGGCGAGTTAATTTTATTAATTTTCGTACTTAAAAATAGAATGAAATTTAGACTTTCGGATCGACAATCGGTATAATGATGGTGCACGTTTTTTTTCGAACAAATCCTTGTAAACGCACGGAAATTACAAAGTTTTATACATTCGAATACCTAATAATTCAAAATGTACACGTTTCGAGCGTTAAAATTAATATGACATATGAACGCGTCGCGCCACACGCGGGTTAACAAAATCGATTCCATAAAATATGACCTAAGTAATGTTATATTAAATAATTCGTGTAATGGAAATTTAAAGATTTGGATTACAGCGAAGAATTGTGAAATGTGAATTACGCGTAGTGTTAATTTTCTACGCAATTTTTATATTGAAAGCTTTCGTCGCGTTTGGAAAACGAAAATAACAACTCTGTGCGGAGATATTCATTTCAGGTTTTTTGTCAATATAAGACGTATAAATGGAATATCAGTTTTTTTTTTCTAACGAAAAGCGTACAAACGGATCGATTCAAAGACGATTACTTATAGAATATTTTCATCATTGTTTCGTTCGAAATATAGAATAGATAAAATACAATCGTATGACCTAACCTATATACACATTTACCGGCATTGTGTATTTAGTGTGTATTCTACAACGAAGAATGAAGTAACGTTTTCGCCTATACGCTTTATTATAAAGTATTGATAACTGGTGGTCTCGACTGTATCGATCTCGTCCACCGTATACGACAACTGCAGTCATTTCGACCGCGTTTACAAATATGTAAATAAATAAATACTCGGTGATGTGTGCACACATACGCGGACCCTGACCATAATTAGGGCTAGGATATGCAATAAAAAATGATTGAATATGTATTTGGTTTATTTAAAATATGCAATTAAAATACGTAAAAATATGCCAATAAAAATATTATTAAATGAAAAAAGAAAGATGTTTACAGGGTTCTAAAATCTAAAAAAAAATATGCCTTTACAATATAATTAACGTTATTCAAATCGAAATGGCCATAACCACGTCCTACGTAAAATTATCTTTGTGTTCCTCATTCAAAAATTGTATTCACCTGATGTTCATCTGATGGAACATCGGATTGATAGTCGAGGAACACTGTTTTTGTTAAAACGCAAAATGCTCTATCCCGTTCTTTTAGAATATTAAAATAATTAATTGATAATAGATGTTAACAGTTAACCTGATAATATATTTTTTTAAAAAAACTTAACAAATAAGCAACTAATTAAATTAACAAACATGAAACGGAATACACGGATTGATAACGCGATTAAAATGTAATAATATTCATTATATTTAATATATGCAAAAATACGTATTTTATTGAAAATAGAGATAAAAAACCACCACAACCTCAACATGGGCTAATTTATGGACATAAGTGAAAAAAAACAGCAATTAAAAATTGCGAAAAAAAAATATCAATGTTTATAAATCCTGCTCTAATTATAATATTGTAATAATTGAGGCATCTAACTTTTAACAACGGTCCAATTAAAACTGCACGTTAGCCCGTTGTAAGACACACGAGTTGTTGAGTCCTATTACATAAACTTAATATTACTTACTTTTATTAGATTGCTGCTCTGGATTGAAATGATCTGTTTCTCTTACTATTTTCTGCGTATATAGAGGTAAAGAATATATAAACAATATGTACGAGTACATTTTTCTTATTGCCAGTAATCCTAAAATTGGTTTATTGCAATTCTTCATATCTCACTGTTTTAGCTTAATTCTTTTAGATCCTTGTATTTTTTTTCATATTCGTGTTCTTATTATTTTAGTCATATTATACACTGCCCTTGGTTTTCATTTTTCCACGTATCTGTCAACGCATATCCTTAGATTATTGTTTAAGTAGACATTTTTGTCTTAGCGCATGCAGTTCTTTCACGTTATCTTTTCTGGACTGGACTTAAAGTGGCACAAAATGGCAAAGTTACTATGATTATTGTTTTTTTTTTCATTGTTCCATACATTTTTGTTCCGAAAAACACGTAATTTTAAGGAATAAGTTGTTCATTAGTTTGTCAAACCGAAAAAATATGATAATGGAGGTTTATAAAGGTAACGAATTAAAATACTATCTTCATTAATGTTACGATGGTATAAGTATGTACTTAATGCAATTATCATTAATACAGTTTCATAAGGAATGGTAGAAATAAGATTCATTAGAGTATTCGTTTGTTTCAACTTAAAGGCTTCAGTGTACACGCGCGTATGTTAAAGCGGACGCCTTTCAAGTGCAGTCCTAGGTAAGGGTATCGCGTCTCCTCGCGTCCCTTTCGCTTTAATCTCCGTTTCTGGATTGAACATATTTCCATCATAGTTGCTGTTTTTCCCGTTTAAACCCTCTTCATTTGTGACTCTGAAAGTCCATGATATTTTCAGTAGTCGGAGCATTTTGAAGATAAAATCCGAAAAAGACTTCGAGTTTTGGCATTACACTGCACGGGCTTGCACAACTTATCTATAGTTACTGGCACTGGCCCGAACAAACATTATAAATCGTGAATAATAATGTAATAATATTATATCGACGTTCCACACGTTGTTGAGCGTTTGCCCTACACACATGGGGTATAGAAATATATAAAAAAAAAAAAAAAAAAACCCGACAAACAGAATGTACGGCTGCAGTACTCTGCGGGCGTTATCACAATAATATATTACTACTATTATTATTATTATTATTGTCGTGTTGTAGAGTTTAGACAATCGCTCGTAATGTTATTATTATGTTTTACACAGGTGCGTACAATATTTCATAGTAATAATAATATATAGCTGGTATTGTAGGCACCTTGTAATGCTGTAGACTATAGGCAATTCTACACAGGACGCGCATTATACCGTTTTTGTCATGTTAAATTATCTTGTTCGAATTTCAATGGGCTGCGCGCGAGGAGTGTACTAACTATCAAGTGTGTAAAACAATATCATTAATAACAACAACAATAATAATAATAATTATTATTATTATTATTATCGACTGTACAATATAAATTATTGCTACTATTATTACGGATAACGCGGGCTTGCGAGTGTTTATCTGTTATAATACGCCGTTGTTTGTATAGACGCGAAAAGCATCGTTTATTTGCCCGTTTAGACGGGAGTATTTTTTTAACGTCGAAATGCCGATTATTGGAGCGCTGTGAAATTGCAAAATATAATATCCAATTCGAGTATCATTCGAACGTGTGTTAATCTAAATTTCGACGACGGTTATCGATTATTACCCCCTACCTGCACGTATAAACATCACGGACTATATAGGTTAGTGACGTTATTCGGCGGAGACAGGGCGACTATTGGACATTTGCCACGGCCTGATAATCTCGGCTTTAAGTCGGTATTTCGGTTTCGCTTGCGGGTATCGGAGGGGAAAAAACGCCTGAATATCGAAAAATGTTTTTCACAACCTATACATATGTGTTATAATAACTATTTTCTTGTTTTACATTTTTATTTTTTTCAACGGACCGGACTAATGAAATCGAATGTCTATCGGTAATTTTCATTCTAAACAATTTTCTTTTTTCTTTTACACCCCGAGGTCGCGTCCCGAAACGCATTATAATCACAATTTAATAACATGATGAGTTTATAGGCCCGCCATTGTGGCAAATGTGCGAATTGAAAAGCCTCGGCGTTATACAGGCGTGCTCGATTGAAATGAACAAACAAAAAAAAAAAAAAAAAAAAATCGTATTTGTTTAGGAAAAAAATCCACACTGTTCGGCGCACGAACCAGTTCTACTAGCATGGGCGTACTCACGGAGGGGATCATGGAGTTTAAACAACCCCCCCCCCCTTGGGAGGTTTTTTTGCAATCAATTCGTTTTAAATTTGTAGGGGATGTGAAAATTCATTGTCACATCGTAAAAATTATTGATAAATCATTAAAAATATTAAATGTCATAATTAGAGGAATGGGTGCACGCCGATAGTCCCTTACATATTTTTCTAGAAACTATCCGCAACTCCATCCCCCTATTGGAAATTACTAAGAACGACACTGACGTTAATTAAACGGTGAACACGAAAAATATACAAATGTTTTATGGGTTGCTTCAGAGGTTTGACAATCGGTTATTTGAACTACGCCTGTATAGGGTGTTCCACGGCAATCTGAAAAACCCAATAACTATTGTTCCGTTCGATATTTGTATGTTTATTTATTTTTTTTTTATATTGTAATAATTACCAGAGTTTTGCGCTACGGTTCATCTGTTTTAAATATTTTTTTTTTTAAATTTAAATTTAAAACCGTTTTTACGAAATCTAAGATAATCGTTTATAAAAAAAAATAATTTGAAACAAAATGTACGTATTTACGAGTGTTTACTAACGATATTATTTTTCATGGAAAATTTGGTGAAGCGATTGAAATATTATAGTGTCGATGAAAACAATTTAAATTATCAAAAATTTTTAGAAAATAAACGACTCATCATTAGTAAACATTTGTGGAACCAAAATTTTGTTTCAAAATAAATTTTTAAAATAGATACCTTGGATTTTGTAAAAAAACATTTTGTTTTTTTAATATTTAAATTAAAAAAAAAAAAATATATGTAAAATATAATAATCGTAGCGCAAGGCTATAGTAATTAATTACTATAAAAATTATAAACTTAAAAACGAATGTACACAAAATAAATTTATTTCATTTGTCAGATCAGATATCCTTGGGACACCCTATGTATACAATGTACATGTTATCGTGTTTTTTTTTTATTCCGGAGAACGTATTATATTCTAATTAAACTATATATGATGATATTATTGATTCGACGTTTGCAGTATCGTTGCAAAAATTCTAATTTACCGAATATTTTCTAAACATTCAAAAAGTGTTGAGAACTGTTCGTATACGCTCCTCTAGTCGCTCCTCTAGTACATGTAATTGCTATCCGCGGTCAAACTTTTTATATCTTCCAATTGATTTTTAACTTTTACAATATAATATACAATGTAAATGCCACGAAAATATGCACCTATCAATTGCATGATTTTCGATGTATTCAGATACCGAACGAAGGGGATTGATCGATCGAGACGAGAATATTTTTGGTAAATAAGTCATATCCCTTCACCGGTTGGTAAATTCGTTAGGTTCGTCGCAGTTTATCGAATATAAATAATAAATATGACGTCATGGACTAAACAAATGTATTAAAATGATGTATAATAAAAAATATACTGTAATTTATTGTTTTATTGTGTAAACGCGAGTGATCGTCGTAATAATTTTTGTTTGCGATACGTTATATCTGCGATTTTTACCTTCATTTTTTCGTCGTAAAAATTCATGCGTTATCGCTCGTTTAGTGTTCATTGAATATAAGCAGGGAAAATAGCTAATGGAATATTCATTATTTTTTTCAAGTATACGTTTGTTTTTTCTGTTTTGTCGTTAACAATATCTACAGAATTCAGACATTTTTCTTTATCTCAAATTCATAGCTATAGGTACAATAAACTCGAGTGTTTACCGCAACGTACGCGAATTATTTTAATCGATTCATCATATTATAATATTATTAATAATAATCAAGTGCCTATATATTTTCACGTTTTTCTCATGTTTTACACCGATCTCATTGTACCGAATATATAATATCCCGGCATACACGATAACTATCTACCTGTTCTGCTATGTTTAACACATTAAATTAAGGATGTTATACAAAAATTATATTATGTTCCTTAATTACGTTTTGCGCGCCTGCTTCCGATAAGCCTTGGATTTATTTTGAAAAATATTATGTCAGAGCTATTTCTCTACCTATTATATTACATTAGGTATATTTTAGAAGAAACCAAAGAACGTTTTAAAATGAGTTGACATAAACGTATCACGATTATTTATTTATACCACCGTCGTAATAATGTTATTACGAACTAATTATTAATTACACCTAATGGAATTAGGTTTTTGTTAATAGTATACAAATACTTATTGTAGTGGCAATGATGGGTCGTAAAATATTATACAAACAAATTTAATGATATTGGTATGTACCGACCTATTGTACGATGGCGTGTTTAATGTTAATGTAATTTAATAATAATTAAGAGCCACGTTCGCTTATGGGTGCGAGGAACTATGGACGACTATGTCTGTACGTAACAAAACGTATAACAGACTTAAAGCGTTTGTAATTTGCCTATAATTTGGCGGGCGATTTTGCGGTTGAGCTTTGAAACCGAGTTGTGTTCGCGGTTACCCCGAGAACGCATAATGTCCCGCGAAATTAAATATTGAAAATGTTAATCTCGCATGTCTTACTATACCCAATACTATTGTTGTTTATAATAACTATTATTGTCTAACTAACGGTTTTGTTTTTCGTTTGTTTTTTAGACTGCGTTTTTCACCATAGTCGTTCTACCCGTCAGAATTGTGGCCATTATGACCTTGCTGTTTATAGCTTGGCTGTTGGCGACCATAGGTCTGATCGGCGTCAACCAAAACGATTTATCGGAAAAACCTCTTTCCGGATGGAGACGGTAAGTTCCACATTGGAGACCCGAATTTCTACGGTTTATATCTATATACTTTACTATTAATGACACAAAGTCAAATGTGTTTTCTTATTAACTTTAATACTATTATAAACCAGAGTCGAACGTCATTTTCAAATTCAAGAAATCCATTTTCAATAACTTGAGCTATATCGTGTAAATGAGTGGACGATTTTGAACGTTCGCCTGTATTTCGAATGTATTATTAAATAATATAGCGTATTGTGAATCATCATTAAGAAAAAAATTGTTAATTACTTCAAATTTGATTAGTTAGGCTAATATTTTCTTATTTTAAACGACAAGGTTAATCGATTTATTAATCATGTACATGTACGTTGTACCAACCAGTGCTAACAATTATAACTTATAAGTAATCAATTACAGATTACAACAACGAGTGTTTGCAGGATAAAGTACAATTTTAGGGGATTGGATATATTTGCTTCTTTGTCTAACACAACACTCAGCGTAGCAATTTAGATACATTTTTCTTTAATTAATATTAAAAATAAACCACAATTAAATTGAAAAAAGTGGTCTGACTGACCTCGTGTTCATTTCGGTAAGTTCTTCCAGACATATAATATTTGAATAAGTATATTCTGAATATTGAAAAGCATCTTTCTTGACGTGAAAAGTCCATATACTTTTTTTACCTTCGCTTTACCCCATATGCGCTGTTTGATTTGTCGGATGCTTTTATCATCAGATGAAATGTTATTGCTCCCTATAGCATACCGTTTCGTCTTCTTGGTCAACATTGAATACCTGCATATTATGTATAATATGTATTAGCTAAATTATTTACGAACACTAATAATCAATATCCCTGAGAAATTCGCGTATCATCAGTATTTCAAAATAGATTTTTTGAGTGTTAAAACGTTTTACTGCTGTGACTGTATGACATCTTTGTAATACTGGGCGGGGCACTGAAACGGCCGATTATCAAAGATAAATTATAAAATAAATAAACGAATACAAATTAATTATTATTTATTATATTGAAGTACATAACTTGCCATTTATTTTTTAAAAATGATGTCCTTAAGATGATGGCCATTTTTTCTCAAGCACTCTTCTAGCCTACTTCGTATATTTTCCACTACACGGTGTATCACTTCCAAAGGTGTACTGGCGATTTCTTCTTTAATTTTGGTTTTAAATTCATCAATATTTCGAGGTTCCTGTGCATAGACTTTACTTTTTAAATACCCCCACAAAAAGAAGTCACATACTGATAAATCAGGTGATCGAAGTGGCCAATGAATATCACCATTTTTGGAAATAAAACGATTTCCAAAAATTTGTTGAATAGCATTTATTGATACTCCGGTCGTGTGAGATGTCACGCCATCTTGTTGAAACCAAAAGTTATCATTTTGAGGAAACTTTGTTAGTTCACCGACCAAAAAATTATTGATCATATTGACATAACGATTTGAATTAACAGTTGTTGCCCGTCCTCATAAAAATACGGGCCAATGATGCCATAATGTAAAATTGCACACGATACAGTTACTCGATTGCTGTGTAAAGGTCGTTGATGAAGTTGGCGAGGATTTTCTTCAGACCAATAACGACAATTTTGCTTATTCACAAAACTATCAAGATGGAAATGTGCTCATCAGACATCCAAACATTTTTAATAAAGTTTTCGTTTTTATCCATCCGGGTTAGCATTTCTCGACAAAAAGTTGTGTAGCTATAGAGATCTGTGGGTTTTAATTCTCGAACCACCTGCACCTTATACGGGTGAAAGTTTAGGTCGCTGTGTAAAATATGACGTAGACTTCTACTAGACAAATTTAACGATAACGCACGTTTTGGACTCTTTATGAGAGCGGCCCTAACAGCAGCGGCGTTTTCAAGTGTGCAAATGGTTTTTTTTCCTACAGGCTTCTTTTTTAATGCTGAACCCGTTTCTTCAAAGTTGGTTAACTATATTATTTATGATCTTAGCCGATGGTACCCAATCATGGCGTTTAATATTAAAATGTAGTCGAAATGAACGCTGTGCGGCTACGTAACATAACAGTTATTTTTGTAAAACGATTTTATCGCATAAGCACGTTATCTTTGAACTAATAATATTTAGTGAGAATTCTTATCTTAATTACTACTGAGAAAATCTATTTTTAAAATCGGCCGTCCCAGTGCCTCACTCTGTATTATTATGATGACATTCATAGTATTAGTTATTACAATTATTATTGTTTCTCCGTCCGATTATTTGGAATTGATTATGATTAAATGTGTAATAAGCATTATTATTTTTGTTTTGTTTTCGAAAGGACCGCCGATTTGCTCCATAGAAAACTACGGAAACGTGGAATAATTGCATGTTTTCATGAACTACATTTAATGTTGCGCTTAACAGCTACCCACTGTTTTTCGTTTCGTTTTCATTCGAATATTATACATTTAGTTCTAAAACGCGATAATAATAATAATAATAATAAAAATGATAATAGTAATATAACTTTTCGTATCCATCTCATAAATTATAACAACTACATTAAATTTAATAACAGATAATTAAATTATTTTAATTACAGTTCTGAAGAAGTCGTTAAATTAAATTTAAAAACAAAAATAGAACTGGGTAATTATTTTAAATCTATGTGGGCAATATTCGAAACAATTCGAATATCATATGCACCCTTGCAATTTTCCATAGGCTTGTTCAATTTTAAGTACAATAAAACTCGAATGGTATATATTTTCTGAGTTCTACACGTGCATACTGCATAGTTTATACAATTTACGTCGTGTAATTTAAATGCAATTTGTATGTTTATTTATTTATTTTGTAGATTTGTAAACAGGGGTGGCCAACAAGTCGATCGCGACTCCCATTCGTCTTTTCTTGAATTTTTTTCAAAAAACTAATAAAAGATTTTTTTGCAAATTTGCTTAGTCATGAATATAAATATTAGATTGAGAACAATTAATAGAGGCAATAAATAACTATGAAAAACGAAATCATACACCGATTACGATTGACTGATAAGCATTCTAAAGATAGCTTGAGATTTTCTTTGTTGTCATACATCCTAGATTTTGTGAAATTATTAAATCAAATGCAAGCACATCTCATTGAATAATTAAATAAACATTTCCTATCAAATAATAAGTTTAAAGCAATAATTCGTAATAAAATATACCAAACTACGTGTGTTGTGTAAAACTGTGAAGTTAAACGATATTATTGAAAAATAAATAAAAGAAGTGTTATACGCACGCATATAGAATATGTTTTTGTTTATTGACAACTTTTTTTTTTTGGGTCTATAGTAATAACCTAGAAAAACTCAGAGATCGGTTACAAGTCTATTTTAAGTTGGATACTCCCGCTCTAAGAGATGACTAACCAATAGGTGTATTACTGATTACGTTTTCTAATTTTTTAACTAATAACAATTTAAATTATAATATATGTTACTCCCCCTCATTTTTTGAAACAAAATAATTTTAATATTTAACTTAAATACGTAGAAAAATTGATACATTTTTCAGGTTTAAGCTATTGAAGTTCTGCTGTAATAATTGTTTGTTTTATTTATTTTTATTTTGAATTTAGGAAGGCCTAACCAGTGAGATTATAAGAGTTTTAACGGCTTAATTTTAAACTATTTATTTAAGACGGTTATGATTATCAAACATCCTTAACATTTCGTACAAGTATTTTAATCGTTGCGGGACAAAATGAATAAATACCTATAATTGTGTTTGGTTTCTTGCACTACACGGCACTTAATATGTTCAATGGCATTTAGTAACTCGCAGTAAACAACAGTTTTCCAAATGCTCGTAGCGAGATGTGTTCGATTTAACATTCACTGAAAAAGGTATTACGTTCTTTAGGAAATGTGTTGGTCTTAAATGTTTGGTCCGCTGTTTATCAATAACAACTAAGTATAGTATATAGATAAAAAAAAAAAAATACTCGTTTAGACAAACACTAAGTATTAATATTGTGTGTCTTTTAACGTCCAACAATTTTAGGGAAACACAGAAATTATGCTAAATATTTTACATAACCGTTACAGTGTGGTGGTAACAACGACTCTAATAATAATATTACTTCGGGGCCGGGTTTTTAATGGACATGTGGTCGTTGTATTTGTACGCAGCCATGATTGAAATACTAATATTTTTTTTCGGAAATTTCCCCGGAAATTTTTCCTCGGACATTTTAGTAGAACCCCTATCACACACTGCGTTGACTGTGTGTTATCACAATATCACAATTAACACGATACCGTGTATACGGTACTATAATAATATTGTCGGTGAATGGCACTTGTTCGAAAATTGATGAGAACCTTTTTTGGAAACCGGATCCGGTCGCATATTAACAAACTACACACGGAACACACAATAAAATACTAGCCGACGTGATTTAGCGTAACGAATCGGGGTTTATTTTCGATTAATTTTCCCAATTCGCGTCGTCTGGGGCCAAAGACTGCAGACTAAGCAATATCACAATTAAATGTAGTAGCATTTAATATTTGAATTTTACAAATTTAAAATATATAGGCATAGAGATTACGCTTTCGGTCCGTTATTATTAAATGTCTTTATCGTTATTTCGTCTTTATCGTTTTCGAACAACTACCACCTACCCTATTATTGTGATTACGGTGCCATTGATTTTCGTACTTACCGTCATCGCGTCAAACGCAATAACATGTATAGTGTATTTTTAATCAAGGGCGTGCAGCCCTCCCTTAAACCCGGTCCCGATTGTATTGCACATACGTCTTGTTGTCGTGTACTCAAATAGTATGCTATAATAATAATAATATCGTTTCTGTCGTGTGACGAACGTACATTTTTTTATAATATATATTATAAATGCACGCTTCACATATACGTGGTGTCGGGCTTTTGATTGCATTTTTTTAGCTGCGTCAGGCGTGCGGTGTACGTGGTCGTCCGGCTCATGTTCGGGGCGGTCGGCTTTCACCGGGTCAGGATTGTCGGCGAACAGGCCACGCGGCAACAGGCGCCCGTGCTGGCCGTCGCGCCGCACTCGTCGTTTTACGACGGGCTGGCGGCCGTCGTCACGGGCGGTCCCACCATCGTAGCTAAGGAAGAGAACTCGTTCATACCGCTCGTAGGAAGTACGGAAGTTCTTCGTCCGCCCGACGTGAAATGCACATCACTTCAGCCCGCTACAAATTTATTGTTATTTAAACACGCGCATCGCCTGCTGCCAGTATAGCTCGCATGTGCACTTGCTATTGCCAATAGTCAATAACGAAATTGCGACGCGCGTTCGAAATGTTCCGGGACCGTCGGAATCGCGGAGCCACGAAAAGCGGGCCGGCGTAACCGGTTTCACGCGACCCCGAGCGATCGTTTATGCTTTCGGCCGATCCTCTGTAGACTTCTTCGTTCCGGCGTAACGGGGACGTTTTCGCGTTTTAAAAAAAGTAATCCGCAAAAAATAGCGGCTCGACGAGCGCGTTGGCGGATCGGAGAAGTTTTCGTCTCCCGTCCCGGCGACGTCACTGCAACCCCTGTCGGCAGACATACGCGGCATTTCGTTCGGTTCGTCAGAAGACGATATCCGCTCCGACCGCCCCGAAAATCTCGCCGAATCGTTCTTCTTTCGGATTCGCCGGATAAGAAGGTTTTGATAAAAGCGAATCCGCGTAAAAAAAAAGACGTGATCAGTAAGAGTCGCGCTGCAGAAACCTGCGACGTACCGTACTCTTTCACGGCCCGCGATTCGAACGGTCCCGCCTCGTTTTTCGAACCCGCCTCGTGAATAATATGTAGCGTAGTTAGAATATTATTGCTGCGAGATTTCGTTAAGTACGAGTACACTTAACGGCTTCCAAAAATATACGGAATTATTTCGAATCTGCTCGTTCAGTGCGGCACCTGCAGTACTGTGTTTTATGTTGTTCCGAAATTAAAATAAATTCCAAAAAAAAAAAAAAACGCTATGACGTACACGTTGTTATGCATGTCCGTAAACGAACGGTGACTGCGATAATAGGTGTCTGTTATAATATACGGTTGCAGACGGGGAGCAGCGAATTTCGAAGCGTACTCATGACGCGCAGAAGAATCACATAATAATAATACGAGAGGGGGAGGGGCGTTCGACGTTACGTCAGACATCCGTTAGTTAGCTCTCGAAAAGTATCGACATTTTTTTTCGGAATTCGCTTTTCACAACGTCTAAGAAACTAAGTCGTAACTTTGAGACGGTATGCGTTACCGGTTTTTAGATTCGGAGCGTATAACGAGAAAGCATGCGTTTTATTATGATGTTAATTTTTTTTTCACCGAAAAAGTTTTTTACCAGAAATCTTACTCGGACGTTTCAAGTGTAGCGCATTTTCTGAAAGGACATTTTATATAGTTGGTACTGAGTAGGTAATTTTTCGATTTTCCAAGCGGTGTTCATAATAATTGGGAAAAAAACTTAGGAAAAACGGGAAAATTTACGTGCATGTATAAAAGAAATTTCGCTCCGATTCATTTTTCGATAGTAATAATTTATCGTTGCGTATACAGTTATAAATTAGATTCCCCTCTATATCCTGCCTTCTTAACTTCTCACAACAGTGGTCCAATCGTGCGAAGTATGTCCGTTTTTTTTTTCTGTCTACCTTATTTTAGGAAGTTTAACCGTTATCTATAAGCACTTTTATTTTCAAACGACAATAGACGGGATATTAGTTTGAATCAATTTTGTCGTCGCCCGTTGTCGGAAACCAAGAATTTCTAATACTGAAATCTATTTCGAGGCTTTCGCGGTTACCGTGAGTTTGTTTTTCACGCGTTTCGCCGGTGCAGCGATTCGGCGAGACTCCGTGCAAACTTTGACGTCCGTTGACAAGAACGATGTATACATTCGTTTTTTTACTGCGACAACGGGTTCGCCACAGCGGATTTCAATCGCAATGTCCAAAATTGGTTTAATTACACGCGTACGAGTGTCTTTTTTTTCTATATACCGACGAAAAGTGTTTTAAACCTATATATTAAGTGTCGTTATAGCCTCAATAGTCGATTCGTGTTTTACTGTAATAATATAAAACATTAAGTATACATGCCGGAGGTCGCGAATCAGGCCAGTAGTAACGGTAATAACGAAAACGAAAAACTGCTGAAATGTTGATCGTTTTTGATATTGGAAGACCAACGCCAAATTTTTATTTTATACCGTTGATTTTCGTTTAATGTTATTATCACGTTATAATATAAAATTTCCCGATTTTTTTTTCTAATATGTCGTGTGTATAAATTCGTTATTGCTCGAGACATTAGTTATTCCTTTTGATTTTGACCTATAAACGTTAATTATAATTTGAATTTATTTTTTTGGAAATTACAACTTGATGATTTGTGTAACAATTGTAATGTTATAATGTCAAATGTTTGGCAAAATCCGTGTTTTTTTTTGTTTTTTTTTCACAAGATATTATGCTAGGTAGGTTATCGCGTTCGATTGTTATATAGACCGTATCTAACCTATAGGTTGTTTAACTATTATTACTAACGATTTACGTTTTGCATGAATGGGAGATGCGATTATTTTTGTATTGCTTTAAAGTAAAAAATTAGGACATGATTTTTTAAGGCTTCGTATAAATATATATATATGTAAGAGATAACGATTGATCGCTAATAAACTATATTAAACGTTAATTCGATAGTTTTAGACGTAGCAAAGCTAGGCCGCTACATAGTTAAATCAATTAATCAATATCCTGCAACGAATGTATATAAATAAATAAATATTAGAGATTTTTTTTCATTAAAGGTAGCAATGATGTTAATGTATGAAATTATTACTATATTTTTATAAAAAAATAAATTTTAGTATACTTTGATTATTGGTATATATACCTTTAAAACTATATTATACAAGTAATATTATAAACGTATATAGGTATATTATAGTAAATTATTATTGATATTATTGAATATATACTTATCTATTATCTTGTGTATTTTGTAGTATTTGTGTTTTAACGTATTTTTTTTTATAGCTATTTCCGTCGTTGGATATGTTTTGTGGGCCGTTCTGCGTACTTAGCCGGCGGCATGAACATCGTTATCAAGGGGGTTAAAGCTTCCCGCCGGGAGGCTCCCTTACTGGTCATAGCTCCCCATTCCACGTTTCTCGACTCTTGTATAAGTTACGTGACCGGGTTCCCTTCTATCATCGCGAGGATCGAGGACAGACTAAACCCTTGGGTTGGAAGTACGTGATCCAACACGATTCATAATAATATTAGGCCTTACAATTCGAAAAGAGTTCATATAAGAAAAAAAAAACACATGCCCATGGAAGAGACGCTATTATATAGTAACAATAATAATATGTCCTCTTATAAAACGAACACGGTACACAAAACGTAGACGTTGAAATGACAGCGACATAATAGTATGTGCATGCTTGTTATTTAGACTGTAGAACAGCGTTTCCCGAACTTCTATGGATTCTCGAGTACGATCAACGTCCGCCAACCTGAACAAATAAAAATAATTTACACTAGTCGAAAACTTAAGTTATTTCAATAATACGAACTATTTGTTATTTTGATTGATTTTATTTTCGATTTATATCTAATTTGAAACACATATAAATGTATTGGTTTTGTATACAGAATCGATTATCGATTATCGAAGCGAATATATAGCGTACCGTTAATTTTTGTTTTTTATATTTTCGCGCCCCTCTTCCCCGAGAGATTTTCAAACTTTGAGGGTTAAACGTTTCGGAAACGCTGCTGTAGAATATTATAATATTATTTGCGTGTGTGTTTGTGTGTTTTTTTTTTTCTTAAATTAAGTTTACTCACAATACCTCTTAGTGATTTTTTGTTTAAATATACAGAGCCTATACCTATAGTAAGAGAGACTAACATCCGTCCATTACTATTGAAATGGACCGCCACTTTGTTTAGGTGCCCACTCTATAATTGAGACAAAATTATAATTATCAAAAACCTTTGATATGTTAAGTATATAATACAAAACGGCGGTCCGTGGATGTATACAAGATAACAGGGCAACCAATAAATGCATTATGCTGTTGACCACTCGCTTACTATATTGTATAGGCTCTCTAATCCAGCTAGGGTGTTCCACGAAGATTCGTACTTGTTGCGATAATTCGGAAAGAATTAACTTTTATTCGATATTATTTTTTGTTGAAAATTCAAGAATCAAACCATTATTTTTTGTCATTTTTATTTTTCGGGGTAAGATGACTACATAGTTTTGATTTTTTTTATGACGGCCTATATTTGAAATCCCGTAAATAAATGGAGCATTAATTACATTTTCGATTTCCGTCAACCCGTTGACGAGATATTCTGCTTTTGAATTTGAGTTCTTTTGTGTGGCGTTTGAATAGAACTACATTGCAGTTATTCACCTACCTAAACTCAAAAGCGGAATATCTCATCGACGGGTTGACGAAAAACAAAAAACGTCAACACCAAAATTAATTCAAATTAATACTCCGCCTATCGGTGGAATTTTTAATACAGATTGCCATTCGAAAATCAAACGTAAGTATTCGGTCCGCCCTCGGAAATAAGGGTGAAAAAAAATAATAATAGGCAATGGAACGTTTCGGAGTTACTAATCGTTGTTATTTTTTTAAAAAAAATCGCAAAAAAAGTCAATGCCTTTCGAGATACCGCAACGGGCGTAGCTTCGTGGGACATCTTACGTGCATATTGTTTTTAAACGTTCCGATGGAGCGTGTATTATTCTTGCACGCGTAATGATACACGACTCGGTGGATGAAAATATAATATTATTATTATCTCTATGTAAATAATCGATGACAGTAATTATTGTATTTTCCGTGATTGTGGTTCCACAGGAGTGATAAACTTCACGCAGCCCGTGTACGTCCGAAGAGACGACCCGGAATCCAGACACAACACAATACAAGAGATAATTCGACGCGTAAAATCCGACCAGGACTGGCCGCAGGTAAAAAAAAAAAAAAAAAAATTGCGTTCGTCTTGAAACGCACACACTATTATTCGTCGACGGCGTTGACCCGATTGACAATCGTTTTAATTTGTGTTATTCTTATTATTTTTTAACAATATCATTATTACATGTTATTCCTAAAAAACGTATTTTATCCAATTGTTGTTTGGTACTGTCACCGTTCCATTGAACAATTATTTCGCACAGAAACCGAGCGAAATGTCGAAATGTATAACATTCTTCTTTTCTTCTGGTCTTCAATCATTCAATTGGTTGGTTTCATGGTTTTCTATCAAAACTCAAATCCTTCAAATCGCGGTAACTTTTCATTCCAATGTTCTTAAAAATTTGATGCGAATACATTTCTATCCTCTTTCAATTTTATCATTTACGAAACCTTCAATAATCGACTTTGACAAATTACATGGCGTAGCATGTGGTTCATCATATTATAAGATCTACAATTTTTATAACTTCCTAGTAGTATTTTTCCCTTAAGTCTTCTTAAAACATCTTCATTTGTTAATCTGTCGTATACCACGGGATCTTTATAATTTTTTGGTAACACCATATTTTAAATGTTTCAAACTTTCTTTTCTCAATATTGTGTTCATTGTCCAGGTTTTACACCCGTTTAATGTTACACTCGGTTTTCCTAGGGTTGAGTCCAATGCAGTTCGTGGTTCATAAGTGATTTTAATTAGTGATGACACGAGGGTAGTTCTGTGAGTCTGAAGATCTTTTAAATGAACGGGTGGTTGGCTAGGGCAACTAGATAGGCGTTAGATAAATAAACAGAAAATAGATACTTGAAGTACAATCGGTTGGTTTAAGCCTGTTTTTCCAAAAGGTGATTTATAATAACAATAATATGTACTCGTGTTATTGTTTATATAAAATGGGGTGCGTGAGGTCTTTTATCAATAAATTAGTGGATAGTTGGGTTCAATAATTTCGTCAGACTCATTTATATTGTAAGTTCACGCGGCCACTATTTCTGTAGCATTGTATATAATGGTCAACTTATATAAATGTATATAAATCAGCAACTTTAGTTTTATCTAATAAAGTTTCATAGATTATTTTTGATACGTTAAACGATCAAAATGTTCAGTGGCTGCTATCCTATAGTGTAAAAATTGATACTCCTTTAATGGTAGGTGAGGGGCTATGCAAATTTTTTTACGCGATTAATATAGAACTTATCGTACAACAAAGTATTATATTCTTTAATATTTAACCGTTATTGTGGAATACGGTTTATCTTAAATCGTATTTTCGAAGCACAGACATCATTGATATCTTATTATTAATTTTTTTTTCTGAACGTTAATTACACTGTTTTGGGTTTTCGGGTAGACCGGATGTAACATATAAGAATATTGGTAAGGGTGGGTGGCAGAGGTAAAGGTGTAGATTATTTATGGGGGTCCTGACTATTAATTATTTATAATAGGACTGAATTAGGAGTTGAGGAGATTCGGTTCCCGTTCATAAGACCATCGTGGGATCATTTACCTGCATTCTGCAGATTATTAATGTTACTATACACAATATATTATTAATGTATACCCAAAATTTATTCTTAGATCTTAATATTTCCGGAAGGCACTTGTACGAATCGCTCATGCCTGATCACGTTCAAGCCCGGCGCTTTTTACCCGGCAGTGCCCGTTCAACCGGTACTGTTACGGTACCCGAACAAACTGGACACGGTTACCTGGACTTGGGACGGTCCTGGAGCGTAAGCACCACTAAATGTTGTCGAATCTGTAAACAAATATAAATAAACTAATTGTATGTGTGCAGGTTAAAACTCTTGTGGCTGACGATGACGCAGGCGACCACCACGGTAGAAGTGGAATTTCTACCAGTGTACGTGCCCAGTGAATACGAAAAACAGAATCCTAAAGCGTTTGCCGAGGGCGTCCGCAACGTTATGGCCAAGTAATATATCCACTGCGAAACTATACTGTTCATTTTCTTGTATTATTATGTATTGTAAACTTAACCCGATTTTAAGACAAGCTATAAATATGGCCCAGGCCAAACCGATCTATGAATTATGTTCAAAATGACACCAAAGTACATCTTACATAGAAGTTACTAATGAGTGACCATTATGGTAGTACAACATCTTACATAGAATAAATAAGTTATCATTTGGCCTAGACTATTTTGTTGTAGTTTGTCCTAAAATGTGAGATTTCATACCAGACTAGATTTACCTTTCCTAATAGTCTATACTGGATGATCCTAACCGGGTACCCAAGCAAAATTAGTTTGTATAATTATATCGACTTTTTACGTTTTATTCGACTAGTAACAGCATTTCTATTAGTTTTGATAGATTTTGATTTAAAAATAAAAAAAATATGTAATAATTATTCTAGGGCATTGGCTGTACCGACAGCGGACTACACGTACGACGATTGCAGAGTAGCCGTGAAAGCCGGTCAGCTGGGTTTGCCGATGACCTCGAATTTGATCACCGTCGAACGGTTGAGAAGTCGCCTAGGGTGAGTAATACGAATGATATTATAAGATACATCGATATGGACGAGAGAATACGTCTGTCTATCATTGATGGATTACGATTTTGTCGAGGACACGCGGATACGACGTGTTTGTTTCCGTGAAACTATTATTGTGTCGGCTGTTTATCCGCACGTATATCCCGCGCACCAAGTTTTATCCATATCACGCGAACCAATACACTTTGCGCCGTCATCGCGATCCTCATAATAATCACAATGAATATTATACGTTTGTGAACGTCAAAGAAATAATAATATCGTCTGTCTTGTCCGTTGTATACAGATTGACGCGCATTAAAATCGAGGACTCGGCTCTGGTCAAGAACATGCTGTCGTTTCAGAACCGAGCATCCCAGCCGGTAGACCTGGCGGAGTTTGCGAGCAATTTGAACGTCACCGTCGAGGACGGTTCATTAGTTAGCTTGTTCAAAATGCATTTGGAAGTAAATAATGTTTAATAATATCATAATATATATTTGTGTCATTTTTTGCTGTTCGACTTTGTTCATGGGAACATCGTCGTCGCCATAAATAATAGTGTCGTGTCCCGCCGTTAACAGCGAATTATTATACTTGTTTCAGGACGAAAATTTATCGACCATCGATTTCAAAAAATACCTGTTGGCCGAATATCTCTTGCAGAAAGCCACTCCTAAAGACGACCTGATCGTAATGGCATTCAAGGTAGCGTATTAAAAATCGTTATTAATATTTTTTTAATTATTCTATATACGTTACGAAAATGTAATTTAAAAAGTAAGTTATCTGTATTCAACGGCGTAGCTAAGTTTTATGAATAGGAAGTTTAGGATGGTCTATGGGTGGGTTTAGGAATCTGCAACCTTCTTAACCTTACCTATAGCTAAAAAACAACACCCAACCCCTCCCCCCGGCTACACCAGTATTTGCGTTAGTGTTGTGTAGATACGGCCTAAACGTTCTATAGAATTTTTCACGCGTAAAATATAATAATATTATGATCCACCGAATAGTGTTGTTATTATAGGTACATACGTAATATTGTTATGAACTAACGATAATGATAGAGAATTATGTTCAATTTACGATTCGTTAATAATAATTCGATTTGTTTCAGTTGTACGGTGAATATTTCGATAGAGAAATGTTCGAGTACGTTCTGAACCTGGTATACAATCTTCCGAAATCTGAAGCGTTTGTCATTTATAGTGAGGCCACTGGAAACCCGAACGAAATAAAATTGGGTAACATTGTTATAATATCATATAATATATATATATGACATACATTTTTTTTTAAATGTATAATACTATTGTATACCTATGCTTACGATTGTATATATATTTTTTAGTGGACTATTTACAATACGGCAAGAAGTATCCGGAAAAATTGGAGTTGTTGCAAAACCACAGTAAAAGTACGGCCCCTAGAACCGTCACGGACTTTTCGAGTTGCGGACAATCGATGTCGGCAGCCGCCGTTGTGGACGACAACAAAAAGTGTCAATGACATACGGAATATCCTACAAGTACGATCGTACCTGTTGCAGACTGATATTAAAACAATTAATATATTTTTAAGATTATCGAAGCGTGATATTATACTATTTTGTTATTCATATAAATATATATTATATATAATAATATATATGTATTTACTATTACACAATAATATGTTTATATACAATATACAATATACTTAAGGAATTCAATATTGTTTTCAATCAAACCTGAAGAAGTTTGATAAACTATATACGCGTACTTATACTTACCTGAGGCCGGATTAAGGGTCTAGTGGAAATTAGAATTTTCTTCGCGCTTTCCACATTATATAATAATATTAAATAATATCGTGTGTTAAATAACTATACTGACATATTCATGTAAAAATAATATATGTACCTACTTAAAAATGAAATTATAAATATTATTAAGTACGTTTTTCTCTGTTACCAATTGTTATTATTATTACCTATTATTAAAAATGGTTTTCTTCTGTGTATAATTGATACGTATTATTGTGTGCTTACCCAACAAATATATATCTAAATACAATGTTATATTTATTAAATTTACTTATCACTTTTGCGGAAACCAAAATTTTATTTTTTGTACGATAGCTAATAACATGATAGCATAACATTAAAAGAGCGAAAACAAAAAGAGTAAAACAAATATCAATAAATACAATAAGGTTTAATCTATGTTTCATAAAATATTATATTATTTGACCTACAAACACGGAATATTAAAAAAAGAATATAATATAATATAATATACTATATAAAAAGATAAAACATTGAAATTATTTTTGCCATACATTTTTTTAAATAAATGAAAATTCAAACATATCTGAATTATAATATATACTAAATAGTTATTTTTAACAATTGAAATTATTTAATTTTACTTGTTTTGACTAATTATAGGCGATTCTCTATAAATATTGTAATATTGTAGTTGTTTTACATTTGTCTACAATGGTTTTTAATTTTGCAGTCGAATCCAACCTAATAGTTCAAAAATTGTTGAAATGATTATATTGTATTTTTTAGAAATTACCTTCAATAGAGTTACTTGTGATTGTCTACAATCAAGTGCACAAAGTCATGATACAATGTTGTTGTTTCTTAATACTCATTCGTTTTGCTTTCGCTCATACTACCGTTATCTCTTTTTGTTTCATATTTGTGCTCTTTTGACACATAACTTAATATAATGAGTATACTTATATTATGTTTGTTCTGATGCAACACTTTTTTTTTATTATCTAAATCTCCCAATAGCCTTTTCCAATTTAAATTAAAAACTAATGCTATTGTTATCAATAATATACAAATTATAATATTTATAATATTATCATAATGTGTGCATTTTGCCGACTTCACACAATGTTTCAAAAAATATTATTATTTTATGGGAACTCTACCAAGTTTTTGATTCAGTGGCGGATCCAGGTCTTAATTTTTTTTTCCTTAAGAGGTGAGTTGCAAAACCATTTACTACAATTAAACTTTGTATATATATATTTTACTACAATTCAAAAAAAAAGCATACTATAGTATTGGTGGTGTTTGGAGGGGAAAATGCCCCTATTGTCTTTCCCTGTATCCGCCACTGGTTTGATTTTTGTTAATTTGTTTTTTTTTTTAAATATAATTTAAGTTTATTATTAAATTGTATAATATTATAATATTATTAATCTTTTATTATTGATACTTACTGTGGATTTTGTTGTGTCCGGTGTGACTTAGCATTACACTATTATGAAGTACATGTACCTACCTAAACTAATATAATTATTTGTATAATTATGGTGATATTAGTATTATTATAATAATATTTATCATACTGGCACCATTGTATAAATATAAATAGTAACATAATAATATTATACATCTCGTGTTCCTTGATCGAGATTCCGAGAGCAATTTGCGTAGACATTATGGTAAACAGTGTTTATTTTTATGTTTGAATAAGTTTTACTATATATAACTATATACTTATATATTTAATGGATTACTATATTTTTAATAAAATATATTACATTAAAGTATTATTTTTAGTACATCTATTATATTATATTAAATAATTAAATATTATGTTAATTATATTGTATATTCAATTTTATTTCAACTTTATTGTAAAATGTGGGAATCAGTTTAGTTAAATATTTTATGTCATAATATGCAATTCATTAATAAAATGGAACCAACTATGTGAGTAATATCTCTTATTAAAGAATTATCATAATGGTTCTTTTTGGACAGTTATAACTAATTGACTTCTTGATTGACTTTTTCTTCATTATCTCGAATATTAATGAGAGTTAAAAAAAAAAAAAAATGGTATTTCTAAAGTACCAATTAGAGCCAAATTGCAAAAAAAAAAAGTTTTTAATCATGTTTGATTGGATTAAGATTTCTATGAGAAATTTTGTACAAAGTATACAAAATAAATAAAAATAAACATTATTGTAAAATCAACACATTTCTTGCTTCACTCAGAATCTAAAAAAAAATTAGAAGCGAAATGCTGAACAGTTTCTCTCATTTTGAAATATTGTTCAAATAAAGTAACACCAGTGAAAAAATTCTCATCATTAAATGGAATTACATGATAGAGTCAGATAATTTTTACGGGGACTTGTTTAAAACACTTTGCAATCCACGTTGTCAAGTTTTTTAACATGTGCATACAATAGTACTTCAAAAAACTACTTAGAGTAGTTGAGAACTTCTCAAGTTAAACAATTTACTTGAAATTGTCTTTCTTAGGGTCTCTTGATCTCTTCATGTTCAGAGGATAATAACACTTTTATTTGTAGCTTTAAACAGTTAAAAAAAAAAAAACAAAGTTATAAGCTCAGAAAGTAAAACAAAAAGACAAAAACTACCTATTGTAAAATACTACAATATAAAAACAGGTTTTGATAAACTTAAATTTAAAATTATTTTATTTTATAACTAAAAAAAATAAAAATAATTCTGATTTTTATTTTTTAATTAACATACAAAGTGTTCATTAGATGTCTCTATAGTAGTATTTTTAAAATATGGGAAAGGAGAAGAAGAATGAAATTTCTAACCTTATCGTTATGAACCATTATTTTGGCCATATATGTTTTAGTCAAATTATTTTGAATTATTTCACTTTGATAAATGTGTTTTTTAAGTTCCTTGAAATAATTTTACAACTATATAAAAAACGAAAATTAAATTTATGGGTAGGTACTTTAGCCAATACACCAATCAAGTGGTGAAAAATCTATAGCTGTTTAAAATTATTGTTGGATTACGAGTTTTAGAGTTATGATTGAATTATAATAAGTTGTTTAATACTAACTTACACAGGTGTAGATGACCTTCAACCAAGTTGTGTGGGTGTTATTACGTGTTTTCAAGTGAAACACCTTAACGTTCTTTACCCCTTATTACATACTACTGGCTCGGTAGACATCATAATAATATTATATTAACGGTAAATATATCCACAACAAGACATATATTAATGTTTCCTAGGGAACGTATTAATGATGTTATTTATAAAGACCGTCATTACATAAAAAAATATACCTATTATTATTTGTGGTAAGAGACAGTAATTTTCTAAAAACAAACTATTTTGGGTTTTGTAGGAAATACAATGAATAGTAAAAAAATAACGGTGAAAAAAAATAATCGAATGCCAATCCAAATACTCAAGAATCCTGAAAAAAGTAAAATTTTACATGATGAAAAAAATAAAATGCCGTTCGTAAGTAAAATAAACAAATAGGTAATGAAATTACTATAAGAGCTGTAAGCCAAAATGTTAAAAGTCTGTGGTTCTTAATGTTATTTTCATGTTTATTTTGATTAACTATACCTACAAATATTGTAAGTCTTTTTACAAATTTTTCTGACTTAGGAAGCAATGTGGAAATATATAAATGACATAATTAAAAAAAAAAAACGAATGTAGGTAATTGTATTGTACATTTTGTGTGGTACATTATATTTTAAGAAAATCTATGTTATATGAAAATCTATATCATAGTCAACTAAAATATTTTATTCTTTCAGTGACGTACCTATGGCGGGCAGGGTAATTTCCCCATTGTTGGCTGTATAATTATATGTGTGCATTGTTATTAGTTTTTAGTATTTTACAATTATTTTGAAATTTGTTTTCATCTAGTTCATGTAGTTAATAATATAATAATATGGTCGAATCCATAGATATTAAAATATTTTTGCTATCTATGGTCGAACTGGGTCAAGATTTTTGGTGTCAGGATGGGCCAAGATCGCTACTGTTGCACTGTTGCATATTTACTAGAAAATAAGTAAACTGGTTGATGATATATCATTGAAAGATTCTCTTCTATGAAAAACCGGAGGTTAGACTTTGTATCGTTCATTTAAAAATTAATATACGCATTATAATATTTTATTAAATTAAAATGTCTTATTTTATGTATTGAAATGTTCTATTTTACAATAATATAAAAGAGCCCAATTCCCGTGTCTATTAATATAATTGTTGTGTAGCGGTAACTTTACTTTTTTTATTTTTAGAATGGGTGAAAGTATATTTCATCCCCCTTCCCCCCGTAAGAAAGGCCTAGGTACCCTACTGTATATTTTGATTTTGTTATAATTTGTTAGTCAGTTAGTGTTTCGTTAGATTCCAATGTTTATCATCACAGCGTGTTTACTGTTATATTTGACTGTCAATGTATTTATTTCAATAAACCAACACTATTACGGTTTTACACTTTAGGTTTTTAGATATTGCTAACCTATTACATACAGTTTTATAAATTATGGACAAACCATCACTATAATAGTAGAAGGCCTGTATGCGTGTAAAAATATTACAATGCGTTTTATAACTGTATATCTACTTAAGTCAAAACCAATTCGATCGGTCATTTTCATAAAATTTTGTTTATGACCTCTATAATATATTAGACGGATCCGGTTCAAAATCCCGGCACCGAAATCCCGACAGTTATAATTCCGACAGTTAAGATCTCGATAATTAAAATCTCGAATTGGTCGAAATACCGACAGTCCGTATAATATTGAAGGGGTTTTGTAATATTTATATTTGTTTTGTATTTAAAATATGTAGGAACTCTATTATAATGTGACGAGATATTGAATGTATTGATTTTATTATAAATTTAAAAAAAGTAGAACTTACATTTTTTCTTAGAAGTTGACAACCAGTATAATTTTAAGGTAAATAATTAGGCGATCACCTACAAAATTTCAGGGGATGCCGATAATGATGTCTGCGAAATTCTGTGTGCCATTGTCTTGTGGAATTTTTTTGGTCTAGATTTTGACCATGTCGGGATTTTGAATGCCTTTCATATTAGACATAGGTAAACTGAAGTATTGAAATATTGTTATTCTATGTGAGTTATCAGTGCTTGATTTGGAAAAATAGAAAAAGAGGAATTAAAAACACTTAAAAATATTAGTTTCTCTAAGCCTTGTAGTCTTAATGATCATTTATTACAGAACAATAAGTAAAGTTTAAAAAAAAAAAAACCGGACATAGCGCGGTTTTAAACCGATTACCAATATTTTTGATAGTGGTTTGTTATAAACTAAAACCAAAACCACATGAATAGAGCAAGATTTCTCTTAGAAAAGGTGTTCATAGATAAAAAGAATAGTAAATACGCTCAGAATCTAAAAAAAATTACAATTTATTTGAAATGATAATTTTTGAAAATATCATAAAACAAAAAATATTCTCCTTTCATCTCAATAGAAATATGTATACTGTACCCGCGGGAGAAAAACCCGTAGGGGACTTTATAGTAAGGGAACGCTAAAAGAAATAACAAAAAATAGCAGAGGAGCTCTGCGATTCTTGTATTCAAGCACTGTGACATAAAATGTAACTATCATCTAATTGTAGATATACAATTTGTTTTTTAATTAAATTATTTGTTTGAAATTCTCTATTCTATATTTGATTTTTCATAAAAAAGGATAAACCCTCCATAAATCAAATAATTTTTTATCATTTAGTTTGTTATTTTTTTCATAATTTATCGTTTATATTTATTTAAATATAGGAAATCCAATGGTCATTTGGTTGGAATAGCGAACTTGGATTGATAAGTATCTCGCCGAAAGGAAAGGAAAGTAATAAATATCAGATATTTTTCACAAATGCACACGTTGGTATTATACTCGAATGCGATAAGACGAATAATAAATCGAAAACCATGAAAATGTTAACAGGCCACGTAAATATGAGTTATTTATATTAAGAGCATTCAGTGGCGTAATGAGGAATTTACTCTGGGGAGATATATATTTATATTGTATTTCTGAGCAACACAAGTTGTTTATTACAATTAAATGAATATACGCATCAGAGGTTGTTATTGCGTTTCCTAAAGGCTGATTATTTTTTTCCATTAACTTTAACAAAAATAGTACAATATTTACAAAACGCTCTAAATTTCTCTTCCGAATAAATGAACCATTAGAATTCCAAAAGCAATTTGTGTTGAAACCGCAGTCTACGTTTTGCATTATTTTTATTTAGTGGAAAAATGTAATTGAATGTGGTACACGCAAATTTGCAAGATTTAAAATCAAATAAAAATCGTTGAATTCGTTGAAATCGAAATCGTATAAAAAATAAATTGAAATATTTGAGCTAATAGGCAAATATCATTACCATCGAACTTTTCAAGTGAGAAGACAATAACCGCCGTGGTTCGAATAGAAAACGAACATTACAGACTTGGGAATCAATATTTATTCATTTATTTTTTTACATAAGCTTTATGTTTAAATGTCGTTATAATTATTGATGAAAATTGCACATAACAAAAAAAAAAAAAACTGAGGAATTTTCACTTTCATCTACCTTAATTACGTTCCTGTGTGCATTTATAACCTGCAGTATTGTATTATTGTATCTTGAATATTTTTAACACCGAATAATTTTTTCAGCCAAATTCAATTAGTAGCTTTGATGTCAATGCTGATGGCCGTTGGTTGGTTACAGTCAACAAAGGAACTTTAGAAACTTATTCGATGATTATAGTTTGGGACACTCTTAGTAGGTAGGTCGTAGACAAGTATATAACTATATAAAAAGCCTAAAAAAATCTATTTCAAATAATAAAAATACAAGTGTAATTTAACATTTGTTTATAATTTTGAACTAATTCCATGTAAATTAATATTAAAAATAAAGGTAAATTTAAATTGTATAGGTAATTAGGTACCTATAATAAAATAATAACTCACTGCAGTTAGGTAGATAGGTATCTAATTTAAAAAAAAACACTCAAGTAACTGATTAATTTAGTAACGATTACCTATTTAATATAAGTATAATTGTACCGTTTACTTAATTGTTTTTATGAATTCTCATTGCTTTAAACGTCTAAAGGACTCCGGTTTTTACATCAGTCTTGCCGTTAAACATGGGAATATCAATTGCAAAATTTAGCATCGATTCAAAATATTTGATTACCGTGTCAGTCGACCTCGTTAACTACGAAGAGCAAACAATCGATCTATGGGATTGGACATTAGGCGTGGAAGAATCGACCTGTAAGTTGTTGATGAATCGCTTTAAATATTGTTATACGAGTGGATAATATGATTTTATTTTAATTCTAATACGCGTTACCTAATATCCATGTAGTTTCAACGAAACTCAACAATAATTTCGATCCAATCATACATTTAACGTGCTGTTTAGAAAATCCGAATTTCTATTGTTTTACAACCAAAAAACGTATATTTTTTATGACACTTGTAAGTATATCGTCACTCTATGTTTCAGATTGGCATATATATATATATATATATATATATATATATTACATAGCAGCGGTCCCCACTACTCGGTCCTTAAACAAATATACCAATGCAATATCTTTTATTAATTTTATCTTATTTATTTGTCCATTTTTAACATTGATTGAATTATCAGATAGTTTGACAGATAAGTAGATACGAGCGTGAGTTTATTTAATAAAACAAAATACGTCCACTTAAAACCCTCTATTTTAGGTCAATATTGCGCAAATTCAAATTGATTTACTCCATGCGGCCCGCAAGTAACTTTCAAAAATGACGTTTGGCTCTTTCCAAAATCCTAGAGGTGGCCGCTGATATACAGGGGGATCATTATAACCTAAGACACTCATTATCTCGGAAAGTATTTAATTGGTAAGAATTTGCTTTTTTAGAAGGTTAACAAATTTAAAGTAGTAATTGTGTTAATTATTTGTCAACATGCAGCTCTAAAACGTTGCATTAACGTTAATTTTTGTCATCCTTTTTTTAGGGGGAACCAATATCAAATTTTATTTTCAAATAGCAATTTATAGGTATTCAAATTTATATAAATATATAGTTTTAATTTAGATACATTTTGTTGTTGATATTTTTAATTTACGTCAACCCGTTGAAGAGGTATTCCACTTATCGTTTTGTGGGTTAAGGGGAATCGTATTTAAAAGTAGAATATCTCGTCAACGAAAATAAAAAATGTTAACACCAACATTTTTTTAAATTAGAACTTGATATACCTATTTATAGAATTTCTAATATAGGTCGCTATTTGAATATTAAAAGTGGGTATATTGCATAGAGTAATAATATAGAGTAATAGTATTGTGGTTTCATCTCGTACAATAACATATTGATAGGAAAAACGGTAATGTAACATTTTAAAGCTGCTTGTTTTTTAAATGATCTAAATATCATATTTCGGAAAAAGTTAATACTTTATGAAATAATGAGTGTCTTACGTAATATCGGTTACTTTGTACATGAATTTAACATTTGATCATTCAAGGACGAAGACGAGAATAAATTAATTATAAACGTTCCAAAAAAGAAAGATAAAAAACAATCAAAATTTGATTATACCCAATCGGCATACTTAACTGAATTCCGTCAAGTTATCTCAGCATCTACAGGAGGTAAAGTACAATAACACTTGAACGAATTAAATGGTTTATATATAAAATATTGATCAAAATGAAAAAAATATACATCTATACATAATTATGTACCAAAATTAGGTATAGTATCCGTATGGGACGATACTGATTTGTATGCGCCAAAATTAAAAAATAAGCCAGAAACGAACGACAAACAATTTTTAAAAAGCATTAAATTGGACGATTATTGTATTACTACTATAACTTGTTGGAAGTAAATTATATTTTTCATTATATAGTACAACTTTTATTTTTGTTTGTTTTTTTTTTTAGAGACACCGTAATAACAGGCAATACAAACGGAGATGTATTTTTTTATAACAAATCGTTGATCTATCAATATCGTTTGAAAAAGTTTATCGGAAATTCTATTGTTTCTATCATTATGATCAATGCCAACGAAACGGACAACAAAAAAGGTAAGTTTCCACGTTTAATAGATTTCAACGCATAGCTTTACATGCAATATGTATTCATATTATGTTGCGATTCCGATGCAACAGAATAATTATTAAATGTATAACTTAACGCTATATAATATTATAAAGGAACATCAAGGGATACGGATACGAATATTAACGAAACGTCCGGAAACGGTCATGAACATCTTTTTAAGGGTCATACGTCCATTAGCCAGGCGTCTAAAACGTTTACAGCTCAGGAAAAATTCAAATCCGATCAGTTTTTTATAAGTATTTATAACTATTATACGCGTCTCAGTAAATAACAATAATATATAAACAATGTTTGGAAATAATAATGAATTCACTGAATTTATTTGATTTTTAGAGAAATATATTAGTACATTTATTTATAAGGAAATAGTGAATACGAATTCAATAATTTTACGCCGAATTGTTAATGCAAATAATAGAATTGAAAAAGTTGTTTTAGGATAATTTTATTTTATTTATTTATTAATACGGACAAAAGTCCAATTCACAATATATTTGTATAGATAACAATAAAATATAACTTATATAAATTATAAATTTATATAATTTAAAATAATAAAATATAACATAATAAAAAATGAAAAGATTAATATATCAAATAATGGGTTTTTTTTTAATAATTGAGCAAAACCAAAAAAAATGAGACGTCCTAGGATAATGGAGACGGGTGTAGCCACTATTATAGGTAGTTTAATGTATATCTGTTAGCAACAATTAACCATTGATAACGAAAAAACGATTCTGAGTGGAGTTCAATTGATATTGATGCTTTGTCAACAATATAAGTACATGACATATTATAGTAAAATACTTAAATAAGTATTATAAATTGATTACCTTAAAATTTGTTTAATGTACCTCTTTTCCCGTTTTTTCTACGTTTTTCCTGGCGTTTGACTCTTGAGAAAATTAAAAAATAAGTTCCTTAAAGTACCTCCCCACGCCGATTTCCTTTCAGAAAAGGTGCAACACGTAAAAAATCGGAGCAAGTTCTCTGGTAGAAAAGTAGTTCACAGAAAAAAAAAACATCATTGTAAAACCATAACCTTCTTCGCTCCATTCAGAATTTAAAAAATAAAGTGAAATTTTTTTTTTTCACAATTTATAGGAAAAATATACCTATTAGTATAAATTTTATAATCTGTAGTTTTTTTTTATTTACAATATTTTACAAACAAATTTTTTTAGTAAGAATGCATTTCAGATTTTGACAAATTTGAATATGGAATGCATTCCCTTTTAAAAGGAATTTTCCAAACACTGTAATATAAGAGTGAATATCGTATGCTATACATATGTATAATATGTACCTCCACTTAAACTACGTATTATAGGCATGCGAAATTGTAAAATATTCGTGGTCGACATTTTCGAAGAACGTTATACGCAATTATTCGAAAAGTGCGAAGACCAATTGATCACCACGCTGGAAGTACACCCTAAACAGTAAAAAACGAACAAATAAATAATAATAATATCCGATACAGATAAAACGTTTACATTAATAAATATTTGCGATAATATTATACTTTCTCAGGAATTATTTAATACTGGGCAATTCAATCGGTGTACTCGTCATGTACAATTATAAAACGAAAATGTTAATTGCAAACTCATGTGCTGACGACCATAATCTGCAGAAAGTAAAAGATAGTCAAATCACTTGCATAAAATATTCTCCAAACGGTACGTCTGTACTTTGTAAAATATATAAACAAATAATTTCAAATACTCCAATGTATTACAAAATGATAAGCAGTATTTAGGACTTTTAGAATATTTTGTCATGCCATTAAATCTAGTAAAGTACTGTGGAAATTAATGACATAATACGAGTTTAAATTTGAAATTGTTTTTTATCATTATTTTAACAGTTTAAGCCAAAAAATACTTCTTACTAGTCTAGGGCTGAAAAACCAAATATAAATATACTTAGCATTGTTTTCCAAAGTTTGCTGAGTTTTGATCATTTTGTTATTAATTTGTTTCATATATGTTCGAATGAGAATAAGTAATTTCAATTGGCACTCTTTTGACTTTTTAAGTAAACTTTTTAATATTTGTGGGCATTATTTTTAATTTGTAGGCCATATGTCTTTTTTTTTTTTTTATGATAATTTTGGGCTTTTATGGGTATTAGAATTCCAGCTCTAATGCATAACACTCCTAAAATATTTTGTTCGTACATTATAGGAATGTATCTTTGTTACGGTCGCGCGGATGGATATTTTTTGTTCGTAGACCCGACGAGTTTGAAATTCGCGATTGGCACGCCGTTCAATTGGCATGGGTCTTCAATCCGACACATAACTTTTAGCGAAACGTCTAATTATGTCGTTTACACTGTGAGTTTTTCGCTGTTGTTGAATAAATTTTATTGCAGCCTGCAGGTGCATTTTGTTTTTGGATTTTTGCTGGCAACAACCGAGAGACATGATTAACACTCTGTTCAGAATCGTTTTTCGTTGCAAACATATACAAATTAAATTACTATACAATGTCCTTCCTTCCTTCCAACTTCCTTTCATAAACAGTGACATAATCATCAGCAGTATCAGTCGTTTTTTTAGTAATAGTTTAATATAACCGCCTATAATATTACCGCAGGACAGTTCGTTCGGTATATACCTGTACGGGATGCTGTCCTTGAATGAATTCGGTGTTAAGTATTACGGGTGTTCGGAAATGCACACCGCAACCGTACTGGGAATTTCTGTAAAGGAGAACGAGACAAGTCTGATGGTGTACAGCACCGGTGCGGATCACAAAATCGCTATATTCGGTTTCGACAAAACGTAATAGTAATCTGCGCAGATAAAAATAAAATTTATACTCGTAACACATATTAATCATTGGGCGCGTGATGCGATTTACAATATACTTTAACAGACGAGACGAACACCTTAAACTGGTAAAGGTGATGAAAACCGAATGGTTGAGTGAACCTCGAGGTATGATGAAAATGTCCAATTCAGGAGAGTTGAATTTGATAATTAGCAGTAACGATGTAATAAATGTTTAAATAGATATACGATTCCTAAAAATGCATATATATTCGTATGTGGTTTGTTTTAGTTACGTTTATCCGTTTGGGACGACAATCGATGTATTCGGACCACAATGGGAGTTAATCTCGAAACTCCGATTAGGATTATGAAAGTATGAAGAACAATTTTATTAATAAACATATATATTTGATTCCTTTGGGCTCAAGTGAATTTTTGGCATTTTTTTTAATAATTGTATTTTATTGTATTTTTTTTCCATTTATTCTTCGATTTAAATGGTTAAGTGTGTATGTATATTTGTGTACAATTTTTTTTTTTGATAATCCTTAGGTATATTCTTCAAAAAAAAAAAAACCTATCCATTTCTTTCTTCTCTCTCTGATTTACGTCCATATCGAGTTCCTTTCTTTTATTTTCTGATGCACATCTTCATTTGATATTAGTTCTGTCTAAAAGATTTTTAATACCCTCACCAACTTAAGTTTTTAATGCTTCTATTCTTCTTCTATCAGCTCGGCTACATAAATTCAACAAATCCATAACTTATCATTGTCAAATTTCATATATACTAATGTGTTAATACTAATATTTATACATTTACAAGTACCTTGCTCATATATATTTTTTTGCGTTACATACTTTAGTATTATATATACCGTACATTTTTGTTTTTATTATAATTTGAGATAAGTAACTTATAATTATAATAACTATAACTAATGCTATGAATTAAAAATTATTAGGAGTCGCCGGTGGATAAAAATTTGATATTTTTTTGCAACGATACGGATATTGGCATTTTACGAAAACCCATCGACGGAAACCCATATAAAAATGCTGCAGTACTCGGCTCTGGAACAAAAGTTAGTTGAATATAATCTTACCCGATTTTGTCATAAAATGTGTTTTTACTGTCTATTTCATACGTGAATTTCGAAAATAAAGTCTAGAAAATAGTTTATGCCAACATAATATACAGAAATATGAGTAATAGATAAGACAGTTCGTATAGTTCTTTTAGATTCGGAGCATAGCAAGGGATCCCTTGATTTAATATGTGTGTTTTTATTTATTTATTCTTTTTTTTTTGTGCGCAAGCAACTTTTTTACGGCCTTTCAAAATATGTTTAATTGATCTTCGCTCCCAATCGTTTTAGTAACGGTTAGTCATCTTTTACATATATAAAATTAAATAAATTACTGTATCCCACCTTCTTAACTTCCCACCTAAAACAGTACCACACACGTCCATAGTATCAGTTTTTTTTTTTTAGTTAGTTTTTTGCTAGGGACACTAATATTTTTAGATAAACCAAATAATTGTTATAGTAACATAAACAGAGATATTTTTCGTAAGTTTTGAAAATAACATTTTTTCTAAAGACTGATCAAATGATGCGATTCTGCCAATATTATCATATTCTCTGGTATCGTGTATATGGTGAACAACCAACAGCGTTTCGCAGTCCACAAGCAACGAAATTGACAGAATACTTTTTTTTTTTATATTATTGATCGAATAACGTCAAATAATGTGACATCCCTTAAAGTCGGCAACTGTAATTTACAGTTGATATATTACAGCTATTCACAAGACTTATAAAATATCTTAAGATTTTAATATTCTTATTAATAGGTTTTTCCTTGAACTAACGACTGTTGTAAATCAACTAAAGCTGTAATAGCTGATAACAGTTGGCAGATATTATGGTCTTATATTATTACTAGTCGTCATAATATACAGTCGTCAAATTTTGTTCTTGGAAGTCGGCAAAATTCACTCCAAACCCCCCTAAAAATAAACCCTAAGATCGCCCCAGAACACTCGTGTCAACAGTTTTACATTATTAATTAGATTCATGACGCATCTTACAAAAGAATTCACCATCAATGAACAATGTTTAATTATTCGAGGAATTGTACAATAGTAGACTATGTAAATATTTAGTCATAATTTTCGGATTGAGTACATTCGAACATTCTAATTAATAGTCACGTTAGTAAAAATTAAATACGTATTAATACAAATGGTTTTGAACGATAAAAAATGTAATAAATAAGTACTAATTTTAAAAGTAAGCAAACTTAAATGTTTTGTTTTCACCTACGTATATGTATACACCGTACCTTATCGCCACAGGTACGTATAGTACGTATATAAATAAGTTATATCACGTCTTATAGGAGTAATTGGAAAAGTTCTATTACCTATGCATACGACAATAATTGTATTTTACTTTATAATTATATTGCATGTATTATAATATGCGTGAGGTGGACAGAGTGAAAATAAATATTTGTGACGAACGTCTTTTGACATGATGTAGTATTGTCAAAGATCACAATTCGTCTACGACCGTATTATTATACAAATTGGTATTCAATTATTTACGATGTTTATTTTTTAGCTAATCGATATCGGTTTATCCTGGAATGCGGAGAACGTATTCAGTATTAGCGAGAGCAGCAGTTCGGTGTTAATGTGGTTGTTTCGTCCGAAGTGTGTTTGTATAAGATTATTTATAAAAATAATATCTAATAAAAATACAATACGTTTACGTGATGTATTACTAATATTATTATTCTCAGGTACTATATTAATGGTTACATTTTTGATAGTGTTTAAAAGCTATATTTGTATAAAGTTATTTATTTATCAACCGTATAAGGTATTACACAATTGTATTGAATTTAATAATAAACAATATTATATTTCGTTTAATCATGATATACCCAGCTACATAGTCTTCGGATATTAACCATCAATTCCATTTTACGGTAGAAAGTAAAAATGTACCTGTCTGTTTAAAAATTTAAATATTTAATTATATGTATAATATATTTTAGATTCTGGGTGTAGCGAACAATGTATCGGTTTTACAAAGATGTTTATTATTTTTTTTTTTTACCGTATAAAGAATTCTACCAGAAATCTCACTCCGATGTTTACGATGTACACCCTTTTCTGTAAAGACATTTTCTTGGGGTGGTACTTTAGGGAGGTGATTTTTCGATTTTTTCAGGATTTTTCTCATCAAATGTGGGAATCTGAACAAAAATGGAGAAAAACGGGAAAATATACGAAATATATTAGTAAAATATTATGATTTTTTTTCTGCGGACAACTTTTTTGCCAGCAATTTCGCTCCGATTTATAATGATAGCATTTTTTTTAAAAGAAAATATGACCGGGATGGTATTTTAAAGAGGTAATTTTTTAAGTTAGGAGGTTTCTCAAGAAATGTGAAAAACCGAAAAAAAACACAGGAAAAATAGGAAAATTTAGGAAAAACGGGAAAATCGGTACAATATTAAAGAAAATATATAACGCCTATTTAATTATTTTACCATAATATGACATAAATATTGTTGACAAAATATCATTATCAGCTTAATTCTGCTAAGAATCGTTTTTTGTAAGCAACGATAAACCATTGCTTACTGGTAAAAATTAATTTCCCTTCTATATATCCTATATTTAACTTCTTACCAACAGTTGCTGTATCCATCGTTCGAAGAAAGTCCGGCTTTTTTACCATTTAGGTTAAATTAACCTAAACAATAAAATACTATATATCTTTTTTTAGTTTTTTGTAAATTTTGTTGACTGTTGCAATGTTGTGTAATACCCATATACATATTTTTTTTTCCACCTCAGTTACTTAAATGAATTGGAGAAAAATGGCGGTAAAGGATTAAAGGCGTACAGTTGCCTTCTCGAGGGTGGAGAAAACGGGTCTGAATTAGCGATGTTAAAGGAATATTTCTACACCGTTCAATTAGCCAACAACCCGAACCCAGAAACGACAGTTTTCGAAAACTTTGTGGACGTTTGTGAAATATCATTTCTTATGAGATCCATGGGATGTTATCCTTCTGAAAAAGAAGTAAACGAAGAAAATATTATTACCTATAAACGATTTGAAACCATAATAGACACTATATAATAATATAATATACGTGTATAATATAATTATAAAAATATATCAAACGAATTATAATTCCACACAGTTATCCAATATGATATACGAATTGTATATGAGAAAAGAGAACGAAATAGATCATCCGAATACGTTGATAACTTTTGAAGAGTTTGTTATTTTGTATTTGAATTATAAACCTCAAATAAAATTGAAAATTGAGGACATTCGCAATGCATTCGACGCAATGGTAGTTAACGATTATGGAGAAAAAGAAATATTTACGAGAGAATCGTTTGTACACACAATGACAAATCAAGGTATCTATTATAATAATAAGCGTACGCGTACATCGAACAAATCGCTATAAATTGATATATTGTAATGTTTATGAACTACATTTTAAATCTGAACAAATGCTAATATTTATTATTTAGGCTCAAAAATGAATTTCCGTGAACTAGAGTTTATCCTTCACACGTTGTTAAAAACAACCAGCGATATATCTTCGGGTTCCACCGAAAATATCGAGACCATTCTAAGTGCTTTGCCACTCGTACGTATACAAAAATTTAATAACAATATTTTAGACATATTATATCTAATACATATCGTACGTTATTTTTTTGTATTGAAAATATATGGACAGACGTTCACGTTTAAAGACATACTAGACTTATTTGGATTTCAAGATAGTGCAACAGGAGAATGAATTGAGAAACAAAAAAAACATTATGTGTACTAATTTATGTAGGTAAAAATTAAAAATCAATTTTAAAATTTAAAAGGCATTATGTATTATTTGGTTTCAAAATATAATACATAAAACTTTAAAATATTAAGCACAGTCAGTATTTAATATATGCCACGTTGGTGGCTACAGATGACTTAAATTATCTCTTTTCTCTGTACATAGCTATAAACAGTACTAAAAATTGAATGTACACTAGGTAGCGCTAAGTATCCCTAGGTTTTCAACACGGCTGCAGATGTCTGCGACGCGACGCGCAACCGTCCAATCTGTAGTCGTAGCACTAGCACAGAACTCCCCGCGCTTTTACGCGCCGCGTGTCGCGTTGCAATCACTCCTCGTAATTTTACATAGTTCTGCAGGAAAATATAAATTAAAAATAACGGACGAAGAAGAATAATATTGTATGCTGTAAAGATTCAACTACACGACGAAAAGTCGAAAAAAAAAAAAAAAAAAAGTTTATCGAGGCCCCGTTAAATTGGACTGCACACGGGGTTTCGATATTTTCCAAGTCGGCCTTGGCCACACCTTGTACTATAATGATACGGTGGCCCGGGAATAAGGACGGGCGGAAGAAACGAAGAATTTAACACGAATACAATAGAGTAAACGGATTGTGTCCGGGATAACTGCAGTGTGTACATGGCGGTAAAATTTACGCGTACGAAACGCGCAGTAAAGCGCCGGAATTAATTTATTACCGACCGGTAGGTACCTATGTACCTTTCAATAATATACGGCGTGTGATCATTTTCTACGCGATGTCCGGTACGGAAAAAAAGAAAAACGATCGGAGCAGCGGCCGACAGTACTGTTTTATGAGAAGAATTTCAAAACGAAACAATAATATTATCATTCGTCGGGCGACACAACAACATCGAGGTGTACAGAGGTTATATTATGATAAAATCAAAAAAACCCAAGCACTACGTCAAACGTTCGCAAAACACAATTGCTCCCGTAATTGAAACTATACGAGTATACCGGCGGCGACCGAGGTAACGGTATACGTGTAGCGTCTAAACCATGTCTACAGGGTAACTTAAACTAACCGGTGCTTTTTTTATTTTTTTTTTCTCACTCGGATTTTATATACTATACCGAGAACACATTCTCTTATAACATTACGATCGGACGCCGGCGGCGGCGCAATCGAGAACTCCGATAAATCTATAGACGTATAATAGTTCGGATCGTTTAAAAAATAATCTACAGATTCCTTTTGTCGGCGAGACATTTTCGTAATAATATTTTTATATCGGTAGACAGTCGGGTAAACTCAAGGAGACGTGACACTTGCGTGCGCGCTGTCCCCGTCTCACAATACGACGTTAGACATGGCAAATTTGCATTCGGCAGATACAGCAGCTTTATGCCGCAGTTTTAATATTAAGGTGAATGTATTGTCAAACTTAAAGACGAGAACACATTATCTGTGGCATCCGCGGTGGTTTTTTTTCGATATTTTTAATGTACGCGATTATCGCGATTTAAAAATGTATGTCGTTCATCCTATACGATGCGGAATTTCCACCGGGCGGTAATTAATTAGCAACATTTTTCGAAACGCTCAACAGTTCACTTCGTGATTCATTTTTTTAGTTTTTTTTTCTCGGAAAACACTTGTTCGGGCAGTAAAAATGCTGCTCCGTTTGTTCATCAAAAAATATTTTCTAGATTTCCCATAGATTATATAAAAATGAGAAAATAAAAACCAACTGACAGCAAATGAAGGGGGTACATCATGGGTTTTATTTTTGACGATTTTTTGATCATTTGATAACTTTTCGCTTCGAAAGAAAAAGGCACGATACTTTTTCTTTACCGGTTTACAGAGCTCCGCTCAGAATCGGGTTTTGATTACAACTATTTATGGTATTCATCAGTGTGTAAAATAAATTGCCCAATTAATTGTTATACCTTTCCAACTTTATTGGAACGGCGGAAGTCGCGGTGCTAAACTGTTAAATGTGTCCGGATGTGTATATTTAATGAAATTTTGTTTTAAACATTTTTCGAATAGACAATAGACGTAGAGTGCGTTTTTGAAAAATAAACGATGACGACGACCGACGGATATAAACCGGTGGCCATATCGCGACGGCAACAAATCTGTATAGGTTTCGACATTGAAATAATTTGCGTTGGCGGTGTTTGAGTGATTGAGCGTGGTGGAAAAAAAAACCCACCACCCATACACGTCGAAAAGACGTGAAAACCAAAACGTTCTGCTACTAAAAATAATGTTAAACGCGTAGGTATATGCGTAATTGAAATATAATATTTTAAAAGTCTCGCGCATATATCGACGGCGGCGCGTGACATCCGTTATCATAAGCCCGAAGTAAGATAATTATAATAACAGCAATTTATTTACACACACACACACACATGCACGATTTTTTATTCGAGGCAAACGCGTTTTAACGGACTTAAATGGGTCTGAAAATTAACTTTCGAACGCGGGATTGAAAATCTTTGCGCGACGTAGTTGTCGTGAACGACGGCGGCGCTTAATACCCGTAACCGTAACGTTATCGCGAGGACTCGGCGGTAACAGCGGAACACGCGTTACGCGAAGTTTTGCGAATTTCCGGTTTGGCCGTGGACCGTAGCTCGGTGTACAGCACGGTCATCTGCGCAGGTTGGAGCGCGCGGCTACACCGCCCCGTGCATTCGCTCCGCCGAGGTGGCGTTTGTGTGAACTATTAGCGCTGGCGGTCAACGACCCGATTTTGAACGGGTAAAAACCACAGGGGAAATGCTGACTTTTCATATTTTATTCTTAATTTCACGTTCGTGTAATTATTTATGCACGAAATACGCGAAAAACCAGTTCACTACGACATGCAGCGTATGCGCCAACCTGTGTAGACAACAGTAGTACGCGGCGTGTTTCGCGCGACCGGCCCACACAGGAGTGTTCGTATGATATAACCGATCAAAAGTCGTAATCAGCAAGTTGATTGAAAAGGTCACTAACCCTGTCAATATTCAAGCTACCTAATCAGTCCGTCAAACGGTTATCCCCAAACCCACGCCACTCGTCGCTTAATCAGTCGTAGTCCAGTAACTGTACAAATCACGTGCATTTGCTTTTCTGAACTTTCATTTATACACTTTTATATTAGTTCCGTTTTTGCTTTTTCGTGTTCGAGGTTAAAACAAAAAAAACCAAACAAAATGAAACTATTTATAACAATAAAAGTGAATTGATTTTCTACTTATACTATGCGTTTACAAATTATGTTAACGAAATTTATTTCGGATGTTTACTTGTCGAGTTATATTTATTTTTTTCATGGACATATAAGATCAAAATAAGTGTTAATTATAAACTGCCATAAAATCGTTTTCCGATGTCTGCCCATTTCGATTCTGAGCAAAGCGAATATGGTATTATGACTTAAGTAAACAAATTTCCATGTAAAAAAAGTGATTTTGAGTGAACGATTAGTAAATTTGTCTGATATAAAATGTTGTGGGGAAGTTTCTTTGTCATATAAATATCTTCGATAAACTAAAATCTTTAAGAGTTAAAAATAAGAAAAAATAACATAAATGATTTGAAAACGATTATTTGGTAATTTTTTAAAAATTCAGGCAGTATTGAAACTGTATAACAAACTTTATTTATTTGTTTTTTTTTTTAATTTAAGGAACATTTTTAGTAGAATTGTACAGGTTTTATAAATTGTATTAGGTTCTATATTTTTTTTTACGGAAAAGTTCATGTACAATTTTTAATTTTAAGTTTTTCTGAGTAGTTTTAATTCGTATGTTTTAGGTAGAACGCAGCAAAACGCCGCACGAAACCGAAAAATTTGGCCTCTCTGATTTGGCCGCTTTTATAGCAGCAAAACGCTGCATGAAACCAATAAATTTACGTGATTACGTAATAGTAGAATTATAATCGAATTGAAGTTTCTCTTGTTATTCTTATCATTGACTGCTTGTCACCATCCGGCAAGTTACATCATAGAATATATTTTTATACCGGCATGTACTTGACCACTAATTATCCTACATCGTGTAAATAGTTAAAGTTTACCACATGACCACATTCAAATGAGTTTTCACTCTCGAAAAATACGTTAGTGACGTTGTTAATGAAACCAATGGTTAAAGATACTTTAATTATACCGTTTGATGTCATATTGATAGCAGTAAATGTGGCACAATATGTATTTATCAATTACGTGACAAAAACAAAATCGTCCGCTCTACGTGTGTTTTGCTCATATGTAAATAAGAACTTGTAAACAATACATTCAGGAAATTAACCCGAATACAAAAAAAAAAAAACCAATTAAAAAAAAAAAATGGAATGAACCGCGATAACAGTGTTTTGAAGTGTGGACCGTTATATCCGTCAAAACCGTCCTTTTCAATCGTTATGTGACATCGCTATAGTATTTTTGCCTGTGGACTCTGCGATTAAATTATCAGCTAGGTTCGGTTAAAACCGGGATATAAGTTGTATAGTAACCACTGTAAATGTTGGTAATAGTATTACTTACCGCGGCTGTAACGCAACGCTGGTAATCGGTTCGCATCGTTGGTTCCGGTACGTTTATAAAATCAAATGAAAACCCGCTTATTGTAAAAACTGCTATCTAATGACAGTTTTATTATCTTATTGTATTAGGATTAATATTCGCTATCGCGTCACGTGGTAGTCTCGCTTTTCACACCTTTCTCGGGATATTAAAACAGCTATTACTAAGAAATCATTGATCGGATATAAATGTACGACACATTACAATTTTTAGAAGAATATACTTTAAAAAATAGGTATTTTGAAAATTTTAAAAACTTATTTTTTCCAGTGATTATGGGATAAGAACAAAAATTGCGTGAGCGTCCTTGACACAAAACTCGATTGAACAAAAAATTAAAAAAAAAAAAAAGACAAATTAATATTGACATAATTATTAGGATACGGAAAAAACTGCAGGACATCCTGTATAATACGGGCTATATATATATATATATCCGTACCTCAGAACCAGACACGAACTTAATTTCAAAAAGTATCATTTAAATTATTAACTTAGATTATTACATTTATTTGCATGCGATATGTCCGTATGTTTTCCATCGAACCATAATAACGGGAGTGTGTTAAAAATACTACTTCCATAATTTTACCGGGGTTATACGAGCGTAAGTCCTGATATACGGCAGGAAACAATTCTTTTTTTTTTTCTAAAAAAACAATGTGACTTACGTTCGTCTGGTTCTGAGGTACAGATATATACCGTAATATATTATAGAAACGTGCGAAATGCGCGTTTCCTGTCGGATTCGAGGGAGTCGGGCGGGGATCGCGTTACGGAAACAAATTACACAACATTACACCGTGCCAACGGTAATGACGTGATGAATTATCAAAATTACCGATTTATAGGTTCTAATCACCAGGGCGACATCGTAACGTTTTGTGAGCGGGCCCGTGGGTATACAATAATATTACGAGTATAATAACACGGTTGGTGTTCTCCGCCGGTTCGGAAACGCGCGACTGTTGGGACACTTCTACTTCACTTCTATGTTCGTATGGTAGTCGTGTGTGTATAACGTCGGACGTTTTATCACAATGCTATGCGGCGAAGGTCGCCAACGTGTCAATAATTCATTCGTGGGAGGGCATGCGGCAAAAGTCGATCGCTACTATTTAATTTTCCTGTCAATCATTTCCACGTAAAAACAAAAATATTACAACTTTCATTTCACTATTATCCAATCCGATCTACACTATCATTCTCTGCCTTCTGAAATCAATTTCACGGTCCCTCCCCCCTCCCACCAGTCCGACCAGTTATGTAGTGCATCCTCTGGTGAGTCCATTTCTTTCTAAAATTATTAAACCGTCCGGTTCCTTTCTCGATTCTTCAATTCGTCAGACGCGAATCGTCAATATAAAGATCCCGATTTTTTCTCTCGATTGTTTTAAACCTCGGCCGATTTTCAATATAAATCAATACCATTATAAATACTCATCCGTGTTTTCTGCTACTTGTTCGCGGTTATCGCACAGCCGGCCAAACTGTTACCGCAAACGCCGGTTGACATTTAAAATAAATAAATAAATGTCTACTTACTTAGGTACGTTACGTGGGACAAGGGAGGTTTGTGACAAAAATAAACACTCTGCCACCGGGTTTGTATTCAAGAGAAAAATCATCGAATTCGATCTATTCGTCCGCATCGATATACAAGTCTCGTGCGCCTCTGCGTGCGATAGATTCGGCTGTGGACCACTCACCGTACACTAGGTATCTGATATCAATATTTACTACGGTGCAGTGAAACGTTTAAACCAATAGTTTTTAACTTTTTCGAGTCCACGGTTCTTTTGATTTTGAAAACCGAATTAGCAGCTCCCTTACGAATAATGATAATAATATAAATTTTAATAAATAAATTTACTGCAATATTCTACTACATTAAATTTGCTATAGACGAGGCTCCCTTGATACTAAACTACGTCGCCCCTGGGAGCTGCGACGCACAGGTTGAAAACCACTGGTTTAAACTATAAAAATTCGTAATGAAAATACAACGAAATCGATACGACAAAAAAAAACATACTTCTATTATGACATTCGATACCTAGCTGTCTTGAGTATCGAATAAAAGTATCGCCCATCATCTTTTCTAGCCGTACGTAAAAAAAAAATCCTGTAAACATATTACATCGTTTGGTGTCGTATGCGGTACAAGGAAATTTGCGATCGCGTTTGTCTATCGTTACACTTTTTTTTTTTAGAACACGATTTTGCTGCGGTTCCGCTATTATAATACAGTTCAGTGGCGTAGCTATGTAAGAGGGAGGGCAGTGGGCCATAGTACATGGCACACCCTCCCATTGACCGTATAAACTTATTTACGTATTTATATAGTTTATTTTATGCGTTTGAAAAATTGTCTGCGGGTTAGTGCTTTTAATTATCAATTTGTTTGGTAGTAATTTTTTTTTTAAACAGATTTTATAAAAACGGTCGATGGTTTATGATTACATCGATTTTTGAACCCGGTTTAGGTTGCAGGTATTGATGTAAAATTATCGGTTATTTATTTTTAAATTACTCTCAGGTAAGTAATGTAAATTACTACTATACCATGGTAATAATGCAAAAATTAATTTTTCTTTATCGAAATTGAATAGTTTGAAATTTAAAATACTCATACTGCATATGTTACCTATGTCTGCACAGAACTATAAATTATTATAGTTAAGATAACTTTGTTTCTCTTCTTGTGATTGAACCAAATTGCATTGTAAATTGTAATCTTTTCGTTAGACATATAAGTAGAGCTAATATTGATAGTAATTATTGTAATAGTAGTAATAAATATTAATTAACAAATTTATACAAATAATTTACAATCGTTATTACAATACACTAAACTATTATTGTTAATTGTTGTGTATTTTTTTTTTTTTTTAAATTGTTTGCCCATTTTAAAATTCTGGTTACGCCACTGCTATCGTTTGTACTCGAGCAGTTTTGTGATTTACCGATGATGTTTTTACAACCAAATCATTTACCCAGAGAACCCAGTAATAGTAATAAAAAATTTAATTTTTGTATTTTAAAATCTAAAATCACGTGCGAGCTCTACTCTTATTAGTAGTTTATTGCGGAGTAAAAGTGCACAGCCACGTTCCCTATTGTTCCGAAAGTCAAATGTACTAAATTCCATTGATATCAGTTATCAGAACAAACCTATAGATTCGTGAAAAGAATCGACAAACAGACTGTAAAGTGTATAAAATACAATCATATGATGAGCATTCTTTCATAAAGAGTTATTGGTTTTTTAAAAAAAAAATATTCGGAACATTCTAACCTTAAATATTCGAGTTGTTGGAGTTTTCGGGAGAATTGACGCTATTCGTCCCGAATCGTAATGTCACAGTGAAATAGACATTCGATATTTGAACGATTGTTATTCATGTTATAACGACAGCCACGGTAAATGCCTACCGAATGTACACAATAGAGTGAAAGAGATTATCATTCATCAAATCGTCGGCCAATATAATCACCGTGTGTGCGGTTAACAATGCATTCTGATTGGCTACGATGCGGCGACGGGAAGAATTATCTATTATCGAATAGCGCAGAAATAAAATGTTGGTATAATATATTGTTTTCGACAAGAACTAGTAAAATTCGTTTTTTTCATCTTCTGAATAAGCCATATTTTAGATTCGGACCGTAGCGAGGGATCTATTGGTTTTACCTTAGGAAGGTCATTTTTTCCAAAGGGTTTTCATAATAGGTAAGAAAAATCGAAAACAAAATTATCGGAAAAATGACAAATATTTACGGCACACCACGGCATTGTCGATTTCGTAGTTTTTAATTTTTGCAAACTATGATTTTTACCAGAAATATTGCTTTAGTCAAAAAATGCCACGTCGCATTTTTAATCTATAATTGGTAAATGAGTAATTTGTTTTTTGATTTTTCGTGTAGTTTTTATAATAATATAACAAAAACGGAAAAAAAAAAGAACGGGAAATTGTATGAAAATAATATTGGTTTTATTATTTTAAATTCTGTTTTTTTGTTGTAATTCAGTTAAAAATATTCATAGAGACTTGAAAGTTTGACGAAAATCTTGCATTGGATTTTTCTACACACACACACACACACACACACATACGTGGTAAAATTTTCAAAACATTTTATATGTCATTCAAATTTGCAAACTGCAAAAATAACCATCATATCTATTCGCCGTCATAAAATTTCAAAAAAAATTACACTTATTGTTTAAACAATAAAATAATAAAGTAAAAAAGAAAAAAATTATTAAAGTGGTTAAATACTCGTAAATAAATAAAGTAAATAAATGTATGCTTAAAAATAAAATAAATAAATGAATCAAAACGTCGCCTGGAGTATTGTAAGTGTACGACAGGTTTCGAATTAAGAATTCATCATCAGTGAAAATGTAAAACTTAAAATAATACTCCAGGCCACGCATTGATTGATTTATTTATTTTATTTTCATATACGTACATTTTTTATTTATATATCTATTTACTTGAATTATTGTTTCATGTGAATTGTATTGTGACTTTTTTCCCCTTTTCTTTCTTTTCGGTCGGCGAAACGACCACAACTTCTCTGGGCTGATAGCTGCAGATCCGTTCCGGTTCGATTTCGGCGGCCACGGGAAACTTCTCGACGATCTTCATGACATCAGCTCTGATGACGTTATCTTGGACGCGGTCCGAGTTCAAGAGAATCTCTTCGTTGTGCAGGCCGTGCACTATCAGTGGGTTTTCGTCGCCCGTCCAAAGCCGCGGTTCCGCAAGCAAATCGTAACCCCGGGCGCTTATAAACGGGAAGTTCGCCTGTAAAAACTCGCACGTCCGGCTGACGGCCGCGTACAACCGAATCGAGTCCATGCCGTCAACGCGATGGCCCGTTTCCTTGGCTATGTTCTGAGCCACGGCGAACTGACGGTGCGCGTCTTTCTGCCGGCCGCTGTCCATGGCCACGTGGCCGCGGGCCGCCGTCGCTTTCACGAGCACCGGTATGTTGCGCCTGGCCAACGCTTCGGCCGCGATACGTTGAAATACCGCGTCGCGGCCCGTCGGCGGTGGTTCCGGGCACACCCGGGCCGCCGCCAACTCGGCTTCCAGGGCAAAGTTCGGATCCAACGGGGCGGCGATAGCGGCACATTCACTGAAACATTTCGCGGCGAGACCCGGGATTCCGGCCTCCGTGTACTTGACGCCCAGCTCGTGCGCCACTGTTGCGTGACACAAGTGCAAGCGGCTATCCTGCGGACCGCTATCGCCGCAAATCTCCCCCAGCAACAGATGGGCATTCCGAACGGCTCGCAGTGCCAGATCCGGGAGGTCCTGCAGGAGTGTGCGCGCAACTGCCATCAGAACCTCGTGTTTGACGAAACAAGCGGCTTCCCAAATGCTGCATTCGCGGTTTACAGGGACGGCCGTGGCGTATGCCATGTCCGCCGGGACCAACCAGTCGTGGCGGTGGCTGTCGGCCGCGTACCGGGCCTTTTCCAGAAATTGGATCGCCAGAGACAACTTGCTGTTGGCGTAGCTTATGCCGATCCCCAGCAGGCACATCGCCTCGTCCCGGGTGTGTTCGTCCGTCACGGAGAGTGCGGCCAGCGCGAAAAGTTCGGCGGCCCATTTCCACGACTTGGCGTCATCGCCAACAAACACCAGCGCAGCGCGCAACAGAGACATCGCCCAGCCGTCGCCGTTGTCGCCGTCGGTGTCCCGCGTCAATGCTCGCGTCACCGCGGCCAGCCGCTCCGTCTCCGACTTGATCGACGGGACATTTCGCTGCGGTTGGCACCGCTCTTCGTCCACCAGTAACAGGTAACCGAACGCCGCGGCGGCCCGGTCCAACTGTCCGTCGGCCTCGACCATTTCCAGGTACGCGAGATTGGTCGCCGACAACAGCTTGGCTCGCAGCTGCTTCGGGTCGTCGTACTTGGCCAGCCGGGCCGCTTCTTCGGCCAGCCAACCGGACTGTTTGTCGGCATTCATCGTGATCCCGCCGGCCCTCCCACCTCTATTTCCCCGGGGCCTTCCTACAGTCTTGTGTCGGCTCTCGACAGTCGCATACCGTTTGCGGTTTTCGTCGCGATACCGCGACGAGGACAGCGGCCGGTCCGTCCATTGGCCGAACTTTGTGCCGCAGGGACCGGGGCACTGCGGATCGATCAACAGCCGCGTGATTTTTTCGGGTTTTTCCGCGCATTTTTCGGACGATCTCGGGCTTTTCTGAAATCTCGACATGATGGCGTTAAACACGACGAAAACGAATTTCTCATAAAACGAAATAATAATATGGAAACGTGTCTATAGTAAAGATTTTTTTTTTAAGTATCGCTGTATGTGTCGATAGCGGCGTTACTATGGCTAGATAACTATGATGAACAAATACTTGAAAGCGTTTTTTTAAAAATTTTTTTTACGGTCTTCTTAGTTGTCTCCGGGTTTCTTTAATATTTCAAAGGATACCGGCTGAAATTTCGATGTAATAAAAATGGCACGCGTCCGAAATTATTGACATCCGGATGTAACGTCTTTTTTTCCCCCCCGTATAGAACATAGATGTATATAATCGATAATCACACTTGAATATTTTTAATTTTCAATTTTTAAATTATTATTATATTTTATAGAACTAGAGCAGCATCGAATGGATACCAGCGGAAAGCCGGTGGATAGATAATGTAATATACAAGTTGTTCTATTTAAGTAGGTGCACTAGGGTGGTCCTTAGTTATGGATGAAGATTTTTTATAAAGTTTTTCAATGGGTTATCCCGCTATTTTGTCCGTTAGTTTGAAAAAGAAATTGGTTTTGATAACTCACTATCTTTACGTGTCGCAAGGGGGTTGTAAAAGGACCAAACAGCGTAGTTTTATGTTTTTTTTTTTTAACTATTTCATTTAACGTATAACTATTCGTAAACTTTTTAATAGTTATTTAAATTGCTTATAAACAATTCTTTTTATACATTTTTCGATAAAATCTTTATTATCAAAAAAAAGAAGAAGATAAAACCTGATTTATTTCGTTTGTTTGGAAAAACTGGTTTTTTTACGGTTATTTCAGTATATTTGATAAACGGTTAGAAATCTGGTAAAACATTGTTAATACATTTTATATACAAAATTAAATTGCCTACAAAATAAGTTATGAGACTAATATTCATTGAATTGTATGTATAACGCATCACAAATAATATTATAGAGTGAAATTGAATTTAATATAAATCATTACAAAATTTAATTTAAAGATATAAATTAAAACATTGACCGAATTAATATTAATTTCCTAGCGTGTTTCGTTTAGCACCAGGAAACTGGTCGATGATAATCAGATATGGTTTGTGTTAAACATTGTTTGTGATCCTGATTTTTTCGTTATCACTTTGTTTCAATCACTTATCAATTTAACGCCTCGTTCAGCATTAACCACTTTCAAATCCCTGAACAATTATCCAATCCCTTTAAGTAATTTACATTTGTATGCCATAATTTAGGATCTTGGTCTAAAAAGTAGTATGTATAGGTAGTTACATTAATTCTCTGGAATAATTTATTTGAATGTATGTTTGTAAAATCATAAATATATTTATGTTTTATAAAATAAACATTTGCCAATGAGCAAGGGGTCGTTTTCCTGAAATTTCACCGAATCGTCTGTATTTTTAAGAACGTTAACCGTTTTCCTTTTAGATTCTATTGATACGTTTGAATTAAAAACCGCAGGGCTGCTGTATCTGAACTTAGATACCGCAAATGGCCGATCAAATTTTTTAATGTGCAACTTGAAATTCTACCATCAATATATTTATACTGAACAAGGCTTCGAATAAATAAAAGATTTTGATACGGGGTTTCTGTAGTAACGTGCAAACTAACGAAAATAATAAAAAAACACGTATCACGCCATGCAATTTCTTATGTTAACTTAAATTGAAGTACTTTCGAAAAATGAAAATGTTAAGACAATAAATTGCCTTGGCCATCCATCGAATATGAAGACAAACTCCTGGTATTCGAAATGATACTCCTCGTATTGGAGATCTGCAAGAAAAATTATTGAAAGTTCCAATAGTTCCCGATAGTCTTCCCTAAACTATTATTTTTTTTAGTCATATTTTGTACAAACTCAAGAATTTGATCTTTTACATTATTTAATACAAAAATTACATGTGGATCTTCTATATCAAGGTTAGATTTGTCAGTGTTATGTTTATTCCAATTATGTTGAAAATTTTTGAACAGTGGATTATTAGGACCTAAAGTATCTGGTACACTCATTTACTCGGAATTTATTAATTTTTTTTTAATTTGTTTTATAGAACGTTTAAGAAACAATAATAGGACCACTACAATTTTACATTTATTGTCACTCTTATTTTTGGGGGTAAACTTTTGATTTTCCAATAAAAACCTAAATAAATAGATAGAGTGTTAGTTAAAATAAATTTCACTACCAAAATTTATTTTATTCATAGGTTTTACACAAATGTTTTTTTTTTTTAATCTGAGAACAACTTTTCTACTAGAAATATTACATGGATTTATGATTATAGCGCTTTTTCTGAATGGAAATCAAACTTCCCTAATGTGCCACCCCAGTCAGTTTACAAATACCAGATTAGGCGTGTTTTGGTGTTATATCCGCGTGTAAACTGTTTACTAATAACGTTGTTAAATTTTAAACGCGTCATATACAAACAGACAATGTATAAAAAACTATAACTACGGAACAACCGGTCGATCGTTTTACTATTCATTAGGTTTTCAAGTTTCCTGTACACAGTGTTGGTTTTTTTAATTTCTAGGAGAGTTATCGATTTATCATTTAAAAACAATAATGTAATTTTTTTACTCTACTGCTCCGGCTTAAACTTTAAACGGTTATAACTCACAAACGGTCGATCTGATATTAGTGGTTTGCGTATCGAGATTTCTAGAAAAATGTTCTCTACACAAATCTGTATTCAAAAATGGGAGGGTTTTCTATTCGAATAACAAAAGTATATACTTGTTCAATGTGTACGGAGTGAGGGTAACAATTAAAAATGGTTTTAAATTAAAGCTTAAATGATTCCGTAATGATTAAAAAAAAAAAACCAGAATCAAATTAATTTAAAATCCTCGGAGAAAATTGCTGATTCGTGACAGAAAAAAAAAACACCCTGTATAATAAAAATATTAAACCGAATTATTTTTTCACCTTACAACGTAGAGCGAGGACACGTATCAAATCCGGAAAACAAATGGAACGGAACGTACAAATCCCGTAAAACATTTCACTGCCGGAATCTAACAACTAAAAAAACCCCCAGTAATATTTGTCCGGAACCGTATTACGTGTCCAATTAGGAAACGTAATGAGCCGCGCACACGTCATCGGCTCGAAACGCATTTCGCCAGACTACATTTTTTCGGGTTTCGGCGCCGCCGACGGTGATTTTCCAACGGAAATTATCAAATGTCTCCGACGATCTAATTAATGGGCTGAGATATAATAATAATAATAATACGTGCCGTACGAAACGTATTTTGAACCCTCGTCACGCGCTCGGGGGGGAGGGGGGAGGGGGAAATATATGTATAAAAAAAAAACCCACGATGGACGCTCGTTTGTTTCGGAACGACGAAAAAACGTCATCGGACGGCCAGAGCTCACCGTGCACCAGTATATCATTTTTTTTTTTTTTTTTTTTTTCGTATTTTTTACCGTCACGAAACGGCGATTATCCGCGTGCGATATGCCGCACGGTCCCGGTGTGTGTATCGTTAAAATGTGCAGTATGTAATAATAGTATGTTAAACTACTCGTACGCCGCCGTCGCCCAATTAGACAAACGCGGGGGACCGGGTAAACACCGGACGATCGTTTTTTTTTGTTTTTTCGTATTTTTTACCGTCACGAAACGGCGATTATCCGCGTGCGATATTCGGTTCGTCGGCCGTTACAGAACACGATATTATTATAACATGATCTTTTTTACGATATTCACGAAAACGTACAACCCCTTAGTCCGTATAATAATATACTAGTGACAGTTGTTCTCGAATTGTGGACGGCGGGAGTGGGGAGGACCCCGGTAACTCGACCGATTTTTCAGACATTTTATAATACTACGGGCATATTGTTCGTTTCAAGCACGGGACGGTACATATTTTTACGTTTTTATTGAAGTCTGAACTTTAAACTCGCGTAAAAAAAAAAAAATAATAATAATAATAAATGCCTACACCACGTACTAAGAATTTTTTTTCTCCGAATTGTAATTCGCGGTAAACCTCGTGTTAAAATTTCGATCATTTTCGGTGTGCCGAAACAATTAATTATAATCATATTATTAAAAAAAAACCCGACAGTCTCAAATGTCTATAAATAACTGAACAATTTTGACAGAATGTTTAGTGAATTGTACCGTGTCTCGAAAGAACTTTATACACACAAGTATTCGGTGAAATTTCCGGCTGCTATAATTTTTTTTTCATCGAAATACAGCAACCGAAAAAAAAAACAACAACAAACAAACATGATTAGAATATAGCAGACGTTTTTGTCGATTTTTTCCCATAAATTAATAGTAAAAGGAAAATCTCCGGCTCGAAAAGAGAACAGTTTTCCAATAAAAACGCTCATATAACCGTTTATGGGTTATAAAAGTTTTTAACTCCGAGTTTATAGCTGCCGGAAGTTATCGCTAAAAACGTTTGTACCGCGGAGTCGATCGCGAACCACCGGAATGATAATCAATTAATATTGTTGACTTGTACCCGTTGATTTGGTCCTGTGAAGTTTCCGGTATCCAAGACGATCGGAAGAGAAAAAAAAAACAAAACAAAACAATGCCGAGAAGGAGTTGCGCCGACATTGAGACGTGTCCGTTCGGTCTTTGTTTGAAGTCGTTGGATCGCCTAAAATGGTTTTGTTCGCATTCGGAACTCAACCGTTAATGTATAGACAATAGTTACTCCGGGGATAGTGCCACATTGATTATTCCGGAGTGTTGTTAGTACACGTACCTGATAATCAGGGCCCGGATTGTACAGCACCTGCCAATTATGTACATAGGACGCGGATAAAAATAAAACAGAGTGGGCTTTAAATTTGTTTTATGCACTCTGTATAATATGAAATTTGATCAGTGTTGCACACTTGAATTATTTCAGAAGCGAAGCGAAGCGAGAAATGTATTGTAATTTTTAATTGTATGTAATTTCACTATAGATTTAAAAAATTAACAAATACGCGTGAAAGTCATTAGAGGTTTCTGTACAAAACAGAATGAATATCGCATTGTTATAGTAGTGAGCTAAAAATAACAAAACTGATAATTCTCCTTTTTCGTCCCACTTAGATTGTACCTTATCTTTACGTAACGTTATCGCCGAATCGCATAATAATTGCCGTTTATATTTTTTCATCGAGCGGTTGCGGATCATTATAGAAGTGTGTAGAACACTCATTGACGAATACCAAATATATGTATTATTAATTTAATTAGTATTTTATATAAATTATCCACGGTACGATTTTTCTGAAAGGAGGATATTTTTCGATTTTTCCAGAAGTTTTCCAAACAAATTGGAAAAATGGAGGGAAAACGAGAAAATATACGAGATGTGGTTACTAGTCGATAAAAATGAACAACTTTTTTACTAGCAATTTTTTTTTCAATTTACAATGATAGCACTTTACATCTGACTGGGGAAGTATTTTAAGGAGATAATTTTTCTATTTGCTCAGGAGTTTTCTCAAAAAATGTGAAAAACTGAAAAACACGAGGAAAAAACGGGAAAACACACGAAATGTATTAGTAAAATATTACGGTCTTTTTTTTCTCGTGGATATTTTTTCTACCAGCAAGTAGAAATAATAAGTACAATAAGCACAATAACAATAATAATAATCATTAACAGAGAACATAATCAGCATTTTAAGAAAATGAAAACAATATCATAATTTTAATAAGGCTAATAATAA